TGGCCTACTGGCTTATAAAAGTAAATTTAGAAATACTTTGCTAGCTTTTCACATACTAATAAAGTGAAGAATGCAATTTCAAAATGCAACATTGGTAATATTATATTACCCACCATGCCTAAAAACAATACAAATGCAATAGAACCTATCTGACAGTCTTCCATTTGGTTGCACTCACATTTTGGCCTGTGTTAAGCACTTCCCAACCCACTGTTCTCACAAACGCGACTCTTTAAATAAAGCAAAAACTGGACTGAATTAATCAGAAAGGCACAATGTTTCTCATTTGACTTGTGTGCAAGCTCTCACTTGGCTGGCGTTCACAGTTCACTATCTAGCTTCACTGTTAATATGTGCGCAGACAAATGTGCTTTTAATAAATAAACTGATTGAGATTGATCATGTGTTTACAGAGGAACGATCAATGATTTACTTGCAGCTAGCATGTAATGCTGAAAAATGATGTTGTGCAATTTTCCTTGGGTATTTTTTGGGGACTACAAACCATAAAAGAAGAAAAAAACACACATATGTTTAATTGATTGAGAGGTTTAGTGGATGATCTGCTGTTAATTGCAGCAGTGCACCTCCATATGCGGTGAAACAGAGTGTTAGCGTGCATCAAATTACTCCAAAACCACCAACTCTGATCTGCCTGCCAAATCTATAAATAATGCCAGCAAATAGAGTAGTGTTTAATAGACTAGCACGACAACCATCTGGTACTTAATATGCTTTCAAACTGATTCAGATGGCTTTACAAGTAAATAAGTTACAGAACTTGCATTTGCACTGTTTTACAACACAAATTCATGCATGCTGGAATTAGGGAGATTCGTTAAATGAACACTATTTTACACAGCTGTTCCATGAGGGGAAAAACCCCAGAAACAATATATATTCTAAATGACTCTTTAAGAGACTATTATGCATCTTTCTGCTTGTGTGAGCCACAGCTTGTGCTTTTTTCCTCAGCTTTTTTATACGAGTTACTGCCCCCCAGAGGACAAAATTAAAAGCCACATAATGTAAAATGTCAAAAAAAAAAAAAAAAATGACATCCTGTCATTATTTAAAAGTTTTATTTTCACTTAAAATAATATTAAAAGACGTTCCTTAAAGCAATGGCAGGAGAAACAAAGCATTCCTTTAGATATGAACCCCCAATGATGATCACATATAAAATGCCAAGAAATAGGGGTGGACCGCTAAATTCTGTACAGCGTGCTGCTGAGACTGATATTGACAGAGGAGGACCACTCACCGGCAATGTTTTGTGAACTGAGACCCCCATTTGAGAGGACAGGGAGGTGGAGGCAAGTCATTGAGTCATATTAGCTGAATGTAAGTAAAATGTGTCTGTTTTGTTGGCACTATAAAAACTATAGGCTATTAATGTCACAATATATTCACGTAACGACCCCTGATACTTAAGGCTTATTTACCGTCAGACATGTGTTAATTAAATGTTCATTTAGCTTACTCTGAAGAATATGAGAGAACAACACTTTTAGTTTAAAAAAACTGATGATGGTAAGTTTTGGCTAATAATTGTCGGATTGTTGTGATTACTAGGCAGCTAAGTCTGTCCAAAACAAAAATAGTTTATAGATATAGGTTTATAGAAATACAACGATAAAAATCAATAACTGTACTAAGCACACACATTGTACCATTATGCTGCCAAAGGATAATAAAAGCGAGAACTGCAGTTCTGCAGACTGGATTTTGATTGGCTGCCATTTTTATTATCCAATTACCTGCAGAACAACATTTTGAAAGTGATTCCAACCCAATACAATATCACACTAAGGGGTTTATGCAAGTTAAGTTTTACAGAAATTAAACAAGGGTATATTTATGGGCCGTGCATGATCTCAGTGGCGGGTTGGAGATGATGTCGTGGACAAAAGTGAAGAGTAAGAGGGGGTTAAGAGGGGGCTAGAACCCCTGATAGTAACTCTGAGGGCCCCAAAACTGCAAGGGTCTTTAGAATTGTCTGATTTTTCCCCAACCTAGCAGCACTCCTGCGCTTGGTCTACTTTGTTGAATTGGTTGAATATTTGTGATACTTTTGCATTTTAAAAAAACTATTGTAACTATTCACTGCTATTTTATGGAGGAGAAGTTTTTTGTTATTATTTCTCCTTTTGTTGTATGAGAAAGAAGGGTGGTTGTGGTTGAGCTAATCCTTTATAACCCAGATTTGTTCAAAGGCAAAACCATATTCATGAAAAAAAAAAAAATCAAAATGTTTGTCCGATGAACACCATGAATAGACTAAAATGGTGGGTAAGAGCTAAACAGACATTTTGCTGTTATATTTATTGATTTAGATGACATAACCTTTAACAGACGAATGACATAAAAGAGGGTGTGGCTTTATAGTGCTGCTGTGTTTTTTAGACATGTTCCTACAGAACTAAATCTCACACAACTTAAACTTTGAAACATCTATGGTTAAATATAAAGTAATGAAATTGCACTTCCTTAACATTTAGCTCTGGAACATCTAACAACAAAAAAACTCTACCTGACAAGTTATGACATGTTTAGTGGACGTATAAACTGCAGTTTTCATCCTCTGCAAGAATGATTTACTGAGGCTGTGGCCCAGTCTGTATAATAAGCAATAGGTAATGACGTGCTTTGGTCAAAGCACACATAATAATCTTTTAGAAAATGACATGTTTGCATCTGTTATGACTGTGAGCATTATAGGTCTCAGTGTCCCTTCACTTTTCACTGACCACTTTTAATATTGCACTGAGTAATGATACATAACCGGCAAAACAACTGGAGCCACCTGGGTGACTACGTCAGGCCAAATAGGTTGTAATAGCATAACAAGTCTAGTCGTGTGTGCTTATTAAACTCAGGCTTGTATAACCTGCACACTTGTTTACTTATTCCAGAGCTGCTGAGCTATTTTACATGAAGTGAGCTGTGTCAAGTATGGTTTTACCCATCCTCAAAATTGGTCCTCTGTTTTTTAACCCTTCTAAGCGCACACACACATTTTGAGTGAGGAGTTAGAGCACACTTACAAACACAAAAACAGTGAATATACAACTGGAGCAGTGGGCTCTTATTTCAAGCCGCCACCATTTTAAAAAACGAAAGTGAGGCTGCGGAGGGAAGAAACCCAGAAGTATAGGATCAGCATTGTAACCATTGCATCAACATGCTTTGGACTACGAATCCAGCTGTTGTTGAGATTTCAAAACATTGATATGAAACTGGCTTTGACACCTGTGCCATAGGGTGTGAAGGCAAACGTCTCTCTGTTTATACACATTGTTTGTATTGTCTATATGTGAAAAGTATCAAAGTATCTGAGTTTTCTTAAATTTTGCACAGCCCTTAAGTTGATTTTTTTTTACCTTAAGTTAAGATTTTTGTCAAATATAGGCCACAACTGCCTTCTTTCAAGAGTTCACACTTAGCTAATGATTGGTAATAAGCTAGTTTGGCATGCTGTCCCGGGAGAGAGCCCCGAGCTCATGAGAACCTCGAGCCCGGGGCTCCCTCCCGTTGCAGGGCGAGAGAGGAGTTTGAGCCCGGGTAGATCTCAAGAACCCCCCACCCTCCTGTTGCGTGTGGGTTGCTAAGGTGATGCGTTGCTGACAGAATTGAATCGAAATTGGTGCTAATTTGGTTTAGTCAATTTACTTAAGTGTCATGTATTTTGGAGTGTGGGAGGAAACCGGAACCCGAACCGGAGGCATTTTGCTGTGAGGCCGCAGTGCTAGCCACTGGGCCGCCGTGCTGCCCTGTAGACAAAGAGGAGGAGAAGGGGTGGAAGGGGGAGACGAAGATGACTAAAGGTAAGGTGTTTGGTCATTTATACTTGGTAGGAATAGTCTAATTTGTGGTTCATACATTAGCTTGACTCAGGGCCAGCCGTGTCAATCATAAGCACGTGATCCTCTCGAAATTAGGTTATGAATAAACTTGACTTAGACAAACTTATTTCGAACCCACTATTATGTTTTTCTCTCCTTTTTCATCTTTATTAACCTGTTTTAACACATTTTAATCTGTTTTTATACTCTATGTCTTTGATTTTTTCTTATATACGTGTCTCTTTTATTCCTGTTTATGTGAAATGACACAATTCTTAAAATATTTTTGGACAACTTGATTCCATTGTGTTCATTTATTTTCTTTTCGGCTTAGTCCCTTTAATAATCTGGGGTCGCCACAGTGGAATGAACTGCCAACTGATCCAGCATATGTTTTACGCAGCAGATGCCCTTCCAGCTGCAACCCATCACTGGGAAGCATCCATACACACTCATTCAAACACATACACTAGAAACAATTTAGCTTATTCAAATCACCGATAGCACATGTTTTTGAATGTGTGGGGGAAATCGGAGCATCCAGAGGAAACTCACGCAAACACGGGCAGAACATGCAAACTCCATACAGAAATTCCAACTGGCCCAGGCGAAGCTCGACCCAGCGACCTTCTTGCTGTGAGGTGATTGATTGTGCTACCCACTGCGCTGCCTGCATCATGTTCAATCCACTTAAACTTGTCAAAACCAATTCATTTAAATTGATTATTTTGTATGAATGAGTGATGATGAACCCTGCATTTTGTACAATGTATAGGCTAATTTATCTGATTAATTTCTGCACCACTAAAAAGCAGATGTCACATGGGTCATGTTAAGGTGATTCACCACTGTGAAATGTTGAAAATGCCTGACACTGATGAAAAAAAAAATCCACATACTGTCTTTGCCGGTAAATCCTAAAAGGCATTTTTTCCCGTAAGTCCCATGTCCAGGCTGTGCTTTGGCAAGCAGAGAAAGAAAGACGGCACAACATTGCCCACTTCTGGTCAGGGCCAGCATCTGCCATTGTTTCTGGAAAAGTCCAAAGCCACAGTCATTCTCATCCCGTGAATCATGTCGTCAACATCAGCCATCCTCCTGGTATAAAAACAAACTAGAGGAGGTTCAGTCCTTCTGCGAACAAGAGGAAGAATCAAAGCAGGGTGAGTACAGACAGCACATTGCACTTGTGTTGTAATTTGATTTAACAGATAATTGCTTATAGTATGTGCATTCATGTACGCCATTATTTATATTCAGAGTAAATTCATATTAGAGTAAATGCAATACCTTTTAATTATTAGTGAATAATGTACAGTGAAACTGCTATAACTACGCACTGCAGTATAAATGTAAACAAGATTCTGTCTGTGCTGCATTACTTGGCAAGGTATAACATAAACATATTTCTATTGCTTGTTTTTGATTGCAATCCACCCTCATGTGGTTAATATCATCCAAAAATCAAACTAGGCTGAGTCGAGAGTCAGTGCATTCCCTAGGCAAATTTGTATTGATTTTTTTTTTCATTACAGAGAGGAATTTGCCTCTTAGCCCCGAGCCGATGAGGCAAACTAAGCCAGGTCAACTGCATTCAGGATGCACACTGTGTCCTGGCAAGATATCATTAAACAATGCAAATCCCCTCACTCAGAACAGACCATCTGTCTGATACACTTTGTTCCTTATAAACAGCACATGCCTGAGATGTGGATGCGCATTCCAAAACAAATATCGCAAGATTACGAATGAGATTAGCTCAAAACAAAAGATAAAATGGCATGTTAGCAATATACTTCAAGGCTGCTAGGTTATGGAGAAAGCATAACATTTAAAGGGATAATTCACACTAAAGCCATAATTTCCTCACCCTTTACTTGTTTCCAACAATTGTGAGTTTCTGTTGAACACAAAAGAAGATATTTTAAAAAATGTTAAAAGCCTGTAATATTTAACGTCCATAGTATTTGTTTTTCATACTACCGAAATCAATGTTTTTAGCTTCTAAATATTTTTTTTTAAACTAAAGAATGAAACTCATAATGCTTTGAAACCACTTGAGAGAGTAAATGTTCCTTTTTGGGTGAACCATCCCTTTAAAAGTCAAATTTTTGTGCGGCTATTCTTATGTAACTAGGCTCCTGGCTCTAAACTGTGTGAAAATGGGTTTCTATGTACACTTACCGGTAGAAAAAAAGGAAACTTGTCCTCATGTCTGAGCCAAAGCTTTTATTATGTTTACTTTGACTCTGGTGTGAATGACGGCTTCACCGGCAGCTGTCGAGGACCAGCTGTGTGTAGAAATATCTAACATGATTAAAAATGCTTATTGAAAAGGGTAACCTACTCACAAACTCACAAAACAGAGATTACGTTTGACCAGAAAAACCATTTAGAAAGACTTACTGAAGGAGATTTGTGCTCAAATCCATGTAATCTCCTAAGGGAACATAAAACATTAAGAGCTCGTGAGATTGCTACTTTTCCACTGATTGTGCATTTCAGATCAATTTGGTTTGATATTGGTTACTCCAAAAAATGAGTCGTTATTTACCTACCATTACTTAGTTATAAAGTATGATCTTATTCTGCATCCCTAATCCTACTCAAAACCTAAACCCAACTTCTACCATACTAATGATTAATAAACGGCTTATTAGTAGTTAAAGACTTGTTACATCGGCGATTCATTCAAACCACTATGAATCAACTCTTTTATACATAAACCAATAGTTTTAATCATGGTGCACTTTCAGATTTAAGCCTTAGCTGGATATTTCAGTTCACTTAGAGCTGTGATACACACTACATGGAAGGTCATACATGTCAAAAACTCATAATAGGGGCTCTTTAACATTTTTGCTAATGATGTAAAACGGCTGAAAATAAAACCATTTCAAAAACATGGTGCAAAATAGCGCAATAATCAGTTTCTTGCTATTCTCAGAAAACACTGAGGTCACAGAAAGACAAAGTCACTGCTACTATTTGTTTCAAAGCTACAATATAAATAGATGCACGAATATAATGGATCAATCGTAACCCGCTGGAGTGTGTCTTACACAAACTGCAAACTACACACAATACAGGGCTTGCAAATGTCACGAACTTGCTGAGTCACTTTCAGCACAGCTTAATTAAATAAAAAAAGTTTCACTATTGAGTGATCTACTATGTCTCTGACCTCTGTTCACAGTGTTAAGCAGGTTTTAATCAAGACTCTTGCAGACACCAATGATGAAGGTCTTGTGGTCTCTGCTGGGGCTGTTTCTCCTCTACCTCTCCACCGAATGTTTGCTGCCACCATCCAAAGAAGAGCTTAACCGTGAGTGTGTTTATTCAAACATTGCAGACATGATAAAAAGCACAAGAATAAAATGAGCCAGTTATTGTATTTTGGCAGAGATGTCGCAAGTTGGTGAGAAATACCTGGACAGGCAGATTGAAAATGCCATCAGTGGAGTGAAGGAGATGAAGACTGTGATGGAGCGATCCGAAGAGGAGCACAAGAGGATGCTGTCGGAGATGGAGAAAACCCAAAAAGAGAAAGAGGTGAAATATAGAGCTTATATTTTCCCTATATATTTATTAGGTATATACAGTAATGTACTGGAATGAACAAGAACAATGAAATACAATTAAAAATGACTATGTTGGCATAAAGTATTGAGCTTTAATATTGATTCAATTAAACTCTGAATTGTAAAAGAATAATCAATATTACATTTATAAGTTGAAATAATGGATCTAAAATGATGTAGAACAATCACTATATGGAATACTATTATTATCAAATATTAATAATATAATAAAATATAAAAATTTTCTGTATAAAATAAACATGGATCTAAACAATTATGTAGAATAGAGACAATTTTAGTCGTCAGAGTAATGACAATTATGAAATAATACATTTTAACGTTTATAAATTAAGATGAAATGACCAATAGTGTTTATGAAGTAAATAAAATAAACATAGATCCAAATCAAGGCTGTAGATTTGCTCTTGACATTAGTGAGGAAATATATCCCTTAAGGGAACGCATAGAACAGCACAAATTCTCTTTGGCGCTTTTAAAAACATGAATAAAGGCTTTAGATACTTAATAATACAAATAACTGAAGCACATCCCATGCTGCAAAAGTCAATTACATGATTTTACTGCAATCAAGCTTTGTTTTTTGGTATGAATGTAGAAATTTAAATTAGGATGTGATGCAATCTATTATGTTAAGAATGTATTTATTTTAATAATATATAAATATTATCGTTTTGATTGTCTGCAGAGCAAACCACTGTTATACAATGACTTGCCTTATTACCCTAACTTGCCTAGTTAACCTAATTAACCGCTTAAATGTCACTTAAAAAATCTTTAAAAAAATAGTAAAATATTATTTACTGTCATAATCGAAACAAAAACCAGAAGACTCAGGGACCTCTCAAGGAGGACTCTTTATTGAGCACATGCTGATTGAACTGCAGTCATTCAAGTCTGACTGGGGCAATTTTACCCAGTATTGTTGTAAACATTTGCAAATCTGCCAATACATCGAGACAGATTTTCGAATAAATGCACTCAGACGGATTCTCAAAACTGCATCGAGACAGATTTTCTTACAAATGCATTCAGAAAGATTTTCTTACAAATCATTCAGATGGATTTTATCAGAAAATGGTGGAGGCAGATTATCTCACATGAGTTCGTTCAGATTTTCTCACAAATTAACTTGGACCATTTCCTACACAAAGACAGCGCCCTCTATGGGTCAATTTATGATACTCTCCTGGGAAAAGCCTGAAACCAGTGCTAAGTACAGCTGACCATGAGTGGTGAACAGGTTTCACTAATTTTGTTAGGTTTTCACACTGTCTACTCTAATATAAAATAAACAAATAAATATTAATATTGAATAATTTTGACATTACTGTAATAGATCAGTACAACTCAACAGTGAAAAGGCTCCTAAAACAGACATTCTTTTATAATATATATATATATATTTTTTTTTTTTTTTTTTTCAGTGTAGATCTAATCACCAATATTAATTAATTAATAACCAGTAGTATATTTATAGTTTAACATGAACATGGATAAAAAGATGTATTATAATAAAATATAATATAAAATATAAAAAAACAGACTCAATAGAATATTAATAAATAAACAAATTGTGGATTTGAGCTACACAATCTACAGTACATCAATAGCTTAACATTTCAAACTGAACTTAATAATAAAATATTATTTAGATAATTGATTATTTACAAATGAACTAATTATAAACTGATTATTATTTCATAAAGATGTACATTAGCCTAGACTAGACTTTTATTTCAAATTTGGTGCTAAAATAGGTATATATATTAGCACATAAAAAAATCTCAATGCTAACTAAATGTAATCAATTAACTGGGAAAATATAACATTTTAATTCACCTCCAGTGTCTAGTCTTAATGTTTCTATGCTGTTCTTTCGATAAGAATGCCCTGAAGATGGCTCAGGAGATGAAGGAGAAGCTCAGTGAGGAGCAGAGTGTGTGTAATGAAACCATGGAGGCTTTGTGGGAAGAGTGTAAGCCCTGCTTGAGGAAGACCTGTGTGAAGTTTTACTCACGCACCTGCAGAAGCGGATCCGGCCTGGTGGGACGTCAGGTAAAAAATCTGCACAAACAACCTTGAAATAACCCTGACTCCATTCCTCTGCTAGTCCGGTCATTCTTTATTCTGTGTATACCCCTTTAAGCAATGCAAATTGATTGTTTCGATGCAGCATTACATAGAAAACAGGCAATAATCAAAAAAAAAATCAAGGTAACACTTAACAATAAGGTTTAATTAGTTAATATATTTACTAGCATGAACTAAGAATGAACAATATGATAACACTTTATTTTACGATGTCATTGTTACACTTGTTCTAAACAAAAACTAAACTAAAACAACTAATGCCAACCCTTATCCTAACCATAACCATAGAGTAAGCACAATAAATAATATTACTCAATACTTAAATATGCCGTTACAATGTAAAAAAATTGGATGACAACAATGTCTACAGCATTTATTAAATCACAGTTCATGTCAGCAATTACTAATGCATTATTAATATTCAATCCTGTGATTGCACTCCATATTAACAGTAACTACCAATGAACAACTGTATTCTCAATAAGTAACATTAACAGATACTGTAACACTGTAATAAATGTTTACTCTAATAAATGTTCATTTCCTAACATCTACTCTATTGTAACACTTAGAATCTTACTCATTGTCTTTTAACAGAGATATTTGTTCTGAATTGAGCCGAATCATTTTGAACTAATAAGAACTACGCCAGCATTCTATTAACATTATACTCTGACCTCATTTCTATACACTCCACATATACTAATGTGGTATAATTTTTTTTTAAGTTTAAAAAAGAATTAATTTTACACAAAATTTTTTTAGAAAAACCAGCATCACAATATCAACTTCATATAAATGCCACAAGGTTGTTTGTTTAATTGCTTCACCTTAGTTAATTTTATTGATTTATTTATTCATTCACTCATTCATTTAACTTCAGTGAGAGAATTCTAGCCTGTGTTGGGCTGAACAAGTGTATTGAAGTCAGGTTAAATGTGAAGTGGATATGTGATGTAATGATCAACTCTAATAGAGGCTCTGTATCTGGATATGTTAAATGGTTAATCTGAGGAAATTAGTCTACCTTTATTACTGTGTAATTCCATAGAAAGTGTAAAGCTGCCTGGTTGGTTCCTGTCACACGACTTGTAATGTTTTAATTCTAAAATGTTTTGATTTTTTAACTCGTGGTGCCTGGAAAATGTGAGCGTGACATACCGCATGTGTATCCCCTTCTATTTACACTGTGAACCTGCGCGTCTCCATTTGAAATAACGAAACTACGCACACAAAAGATGCTCTATGTAAAAGTCAACCTTTTGACCTGCAATATTAGACTTGCGCATTGCAAGACCCTGTTTGTGGTTTAATTTAAATTAAATATTAAATATATTTAAATTAAATGGACCTATCAAATAAGTCCAGCGGGCCGCATGTGGCCCGGGGGTCGTAAAATGAGCAGGCCTGACTTAAAATAAGTCTTTAAAATAAAATAAAATGTACTGGCAGATTATTACAAGGTTTTTGTACCAAAATATACAATACCAACCTAGACAATATATCACTTTAAACTATTAAAAATGTTAATAAAAGTCACTTTTTTCTAACATTTTAAGGTCAAAAGTTGTTGGATGCTGCTCATTTACGGATATTTTTTTTTACACTGTTGTTAGTTTATTGATAATTCATTTCAATTCATTTTCACAAATGGTAATTGTTAAGAGTATATACTTACCTCATCTAATCAAACCAGCAGGTGAGAGCCAAAAGCAACGATCCCTCTCTCTCTTTGTCCATCTTTTTAGCTGGAGGAGATTTTGAACAGGACTTCTCCCATCTCCATCTTCATAAACGGCCAGAGCATCGAGACCCTGCTGAGTGAGGATCAGCAGCAGACCAGACACTTCCAGGACCTGGAGGAAAGTTACACTGAGGTTTCAGATGGAGTGGAAAATATGTTTACGGACAGCATGAAGGTGTTTGACCACATGCAGATGTTCCACCATCCCGGCTTCTTCCCCAGTAGATTCCAGTTTCCCAGTATGTTTGGTGGGCATGAGGGCTCCACCCATGCTGGCCGCATCTATAGGTCTCCAATGCATGACTCCTTGTTTCACAGCCTCCAAAGCTTGTTCAGGCCTATGGAGAGATCCATGAGCATGTTTGGAAAAAATGAAGAGAGGAACTTCACCTCAGAAGGTACATTTCAGAATCAGCATGAAAAATGGCAGATTGATAACTACATAACAATTTATCATTTTAAAAATGGTGGTTCATTCCACTGTGGTGACCCCTGATAAAAAAGGGACTAAGCTGAAGGAGAATGAATAAATGATGTGAAGAGTTTATATGCAAAAACCCCCAAGTGCTGTCACAAATGTTCAATCAAAATGTGCATTTTTATCAGGCTTTTGTGTGTAGATTAAGTAATTTTACTTTTAGTACAAATAATTGGTTATGTTCATTGCTTTTAAAGTGAGATAACTGATAATGAACAGGAGAGTGAAAAAACATCAGAGGAAAATTTCAGATGCCACTAATGTTTTTGCATCTAAACTCTTTTTTATAATCAACTTCATATTGATACAGACCTGAATGATTTATTTATTTATTTTTATTGTGAAAAATGGAGAAAGATATTCTAAAGAATGTTGTCACAGTTTGAGTTCCCATGGACTTCATTTATTATTTTGTGTGTGTCTGTCTGTGCAATAGAAGTCAATGGAAACTGAACATATTTATTTACCAAAATGTATTTGGTCACACTTTACGATAAGGTGGTATTAGTCAACATGATCAAACAATGAACTAAACATTTATTACAGTATTTACTAATCTTTAGTTAATTAAAATGTTGTTTTGAGGTACAGTGCATTAACTAATGTTAACAAGCATGAATTTGGATTTTAATAATGCAGTAGTAAATGATGAATAAATGTTTTGTAAGCATAGCTAATGCTAATAAATACGCTTCCTGACAAAAGACTTGTTGTCTATGTTGTCTATGCAAGTTTTATGAACAAATAATGACTTGACTTGTAGCTGATCATTTGGTATCAGAAGTGGCAAAATAAAATATGACCATGCCAAGATTCTTTGGATTTATCTTAAATGCCTCCCCCTTCATCTTAACCCAGAATGCTCAATAATGTTCATGTCTGGTGACTAGGCTGGCCAATCCTGGAGCACTTTGACTTTCTATGCATTCAGGAACTTTGATGTGGAGGCTGAAGTATGAGGAGGGCTATCCTGCTGAAGAATTTGCCCTCTCCTTTGGTTTGTAATGTAATGGGCAGCACAAATGTCTTAGTACCTCAGGCTGTTGATGTTGCCATTCTCTCTACAGATATCTCTCACGCACCCAAACTGAATGCAACCCCAAACCATGATTTTTCCTTCACCAAACTTGACTGATTCTCTGAGAATCTTGGGTCCATATGGGTTTCAATAGGTCTTCTGCTGTATTTGTGATGATTGGGATGCAGTTCATCAGATAATTCATCGGGAAAATCTTCCTTCTGCCACTTTTCCAAATGATCAATTAGAAGTCAAGTTACTATTTGTTGCTCTTACAACAGGAATCGACAACAAGACTTTTATCACACTATCTGTCTAGTTACAGATCATTCTTTCATTTAATTTGTTAACCTATATTTACAGGTTGGAAATTGAATGAGAAAGTTACTACAGATGATAAGATGACTTGCAAGGAAATCCGTCGCAATTCTTTCGGCTGCGTCAAACTGAAAGACGAGTGTGAAAAATGTCAACAGATCCAGCATATTGGTGAGTGCGATATTGATCTGGTGTTATATTATCGAACATGAAACATGGGATTAATTTGATATGAGAAGCGCATGGTATTTAACAATTAGAGCCTCGTTTTCCTCTTTAGACTGTTCTGGAAAGAGGCCCCTGGAAGGGCCCCTGAAGGAGGAGCTGGAGAGGGCTCTGGGCAAGGCAGAGGAATTCACCCAAGAGTTCAACAACCTGTTAAATATATTCCAGGAGCAGATGTTCAACACCTCAAGTCTGCTCGACCTGTTCAACAAGCAGTTCGGCTGGGTTTCCTCTCTCGCCAACCATACCCAAAATGAAGACGGCTTCTTTCAGATACAGGCAGTAGGTGTTACGGATTCATTCATTCATTATTTACACACCTTCCACTTGTTCTAAACCTGCTTGAGTTTCTTTATTTTGCTGAATACAGTCATGAAAACTGGTAGCCACAGGTATTGTTTCCTACTATAGATGTAAATAGCTACCGTTTTCCTGCATTCCTTAAATATTTCTGGTGTTAAACAAAAGAAAAAAAATCTCATACACCCAGAGAAATGCAAGTATTTTTGCTATAGTTTCTGCCAGACACAGAGCAAATTTTCACATGTTGATTACGTGGCAAGTGCCCTTGCAGCCATCTGGAAATGAGGTGTCTTGAGGCATATTTTTGGCATGCTGCCATTTTAAGGCAGCTGAAAACAATTGCACCATTGACTAACCTGGACAAGTCTATGAAGCGGTATTTTTAGCATTGTAGCATGCGCCTATGGGTGCAAAATGCATGTACACTCTGCTTTTTACACAAACAGATTAGCACAGCAGCACAGAAGCACGCCAACTATTAAAAAATAAAACAAGGTATTATTTTATTATTGTGTATAAGATAACAGTGCCTACAAGTCATGGATAGTTCTTGTATAAGAAATATCTATTTGTAATAATGACAAATGATATTGGCTAATTATTTGAGCACTTTGTATTGTAACGGTTTCCTCACTGGAGCAAGTCTTTGAAAGCTGGAAAACTCTTTAAAATTCCAACAACTGGCTCTCAAAAGTTTAATTCACGCATAAAAGTGCTATTATTTACTTATAGTAACAGTAAAGAAGTTTTTTTTTTTTTTAGCTGAAACCGTTGTCCTCTAGTATCCATATAATGGAGCTCAAATGGAGCCATCACTTTGAGGTTTAAAAAAACATATGCATGCAAAACATAATTACCACCCACAGCTCCTGATGACCCATTGTGAAGTGAAACAATCGCCCAGTGCAAAACACAGAACATGACCATTAACTTTAATACCTGTTATTCACAACCTGAGCTATTCATGATCACAAACTTTCTGTCTGTGGTAAACAAACCCAAGAACATCATCTCTTGTGATTTTGTATCCACAAATGTATCATTACATAACAAGACTCTTCTAATATATACTTAATGAAAATGCTAAGAAACCATTCACATAAGTTTTGAATAACAGACAATAAAGTTGTAAAAGTTTTTTTTTTCCCACCAAGTGATCGTTTTGCTTCATAAGACCTCAGTGCATCATCAGAAGGTGCAGGTAGTGATATTTGGCATGCATTTAGTATTCATCTTAGTGTGTGTAAATAATGGGTGAGTAAATGGGCAATATGCACACAGACTTTTAATTTCAGTCATCTAGCTCGAGGGCTTCCGGTTAATTGTCATCCCATACAAAATTGCCGCATTTCAGCTCTGATTTTATTAAGAAAAACACCAAAAAAAAAAACAGCGATCTTCACTGCAAGGCTGAGATACGAAATAAAGTGGGTATCAGAACAGGGGAGGGGGGTGTTTTTTTTTTTTTTTTGAATTGATATGTTTCATTATATAGGTTTTTCAGCTTTTGTTAACAATTAAAAAAAAGTGGGTATCAGAACAAACAAGAAGCACTGCATTAAGTTATATTTTTCCACCCAATGTCTCAATTTCACCCCAGTATTTTCAATAGAATTTTTTCAGCTGGCCTGCTGCTAATGACGGCACCTGTGTTTAAAGTCTTTCTTCTTTTTATGCGTTAACAACCAAAATGATGCTTAAGTCTATTTCACTAATTGTATTTGAATTACATTACAACATCGATGCTGTAAAAGGAACCTTATGAAATTAAAAATAGTCACATAAAGCTTTCACCGGAAGTTCATCATTGTCTGAAAAACAGTAGCCGTGCATATACTCCAGTTAAATTTTAGGGTGAACTATGCCTTTAATTATGCAGTTGAGAACAGTTGTAAGATCTTTTCCTATGCAGATCACTCAAATGCCATTGCTTTTTGTGCAGGTGATGTCCAAAGGCTCAGATAATGCAGAGAATCCTGCTGACACCAGAGTGTCTGTCAAACTGTTTGACGGGCCTGATATGATCTACACAGTGCCAGGAGATATTCCCTGGAGCGACCCAAAATTCTCTGAAGTGGTGGCACAGGAAGCTTTGGATCGCTACAAACAGAACGCTGTGTGAGTCTTTACATACATTTAAAGTCAGAATTATTAGCCCTCCTGTATATTTTTCTTTTCTGAATTTATGTTTAACAGACGGAATTTATGTTTGCCAATTTGTTTTTCAACACTTCTAAACATAATAGTTTTAATAACTTATTTCTCATAACTGATTGATATCTTTGCCATGATGACAGCATACTATTTTAATAGATCATTTTTAGGATACTAGTATTCAGTTTTAAGTGACATTTAAAGGCTTAACTAGGCAAGTTAGGGTTATTGAACTGGTCATTGTATAACAGTGAGACAATAACAAGGACAATAACATTAAGGGGCCTAATAATTGATCATAAAATTACCATTAAATAAAAAAACTTTGAAACAGTGATTCATGCCTTCATAACAACATGTCTGGATTACTGTAACTCTCTATTATGGTATTTCTCAGTCTTCTCTCTCTCGTCTGCAGCTGGTACAAAACGCAGCTGTTAGACTACTCTGTGGCACCCGCAAGTATGAGTCGGTAACTTTTATTTTAGCTGCGATTCCCTGGGTACCCATTAAATACAGAATTGATTCGAAAAAATTATTATTTGTTTACAAAGCTGTCGATAATCTTGCTCCTTCTTCTCCATCTGAAATCTTATGATTTCAATTTATTCACCGTGCCTAGAACGCCTTAAAAAATAAGGTGACTGAGCATTAGCTGTTGCTGGTCCTAAACTCTAGAACACTCTACCAATTCCCATTAGACTCTTTCCCCCTCCATTTTTGTGTTTAAACCCATTTTTGAGACCTATTTATTTTCTCTCGCTCTTAATACTCCTTGATCATTGTTTTATTACTTTTATTTGTTCAATGTGTTTCTTTTATATTCTGCTCTATTCTCTGCCTTTAGTACTCCTATACAGGACTTCGGTTAACTTTAGTTGTTTTTAAATTTGCTCTATAAATAAATATTGTATTGTAAACTGCTTTTATTGTAGCCGAAATAAAAACAAAAAAGACTTTCTCCGACCACAACCCGTCTGTGTTAATCATGTTATGTCTGACTGTTCTGTTTTAAATATAGTGTTACCTCAGGTATGTGTATTATCACCTATTTTATTTTTGTTTACATTAATGAACTGCAGTGCAATAATAATGATGCTCTCACTCATAAATATGCTGATGATCTGGCATTGGTTTCCTGTCAGGAAGAAATGAAAAGCTCCTTATATCTTAAATATATTCATAGTATTACAGACTGGTTTGGCAAAAGTTCATTACACCTAAATATTGGGAAAACTAAAGAGTCAAACAAGAGCAGTAGATACTAGACTTTATAAACCAGTCATCATAAACAGACAAATAGTAGAGTAGGTCTTAAATTTGAAGGATTTAGGCACACTTATTGGCAATAAACTGAATTTTAATAGTAATGTAGAGGCTGTTTATAAGAAGGCAAGTCAGCGCCTCTGTCTCCTCCATAAATTGAAAAGTTTTAATGTTGGTACACAGACTTTAAACAAGGCATATAGATCATTTATAGAGTGTCCTCACATATAATATTGATTTATGGTTTGGTAACACAACACTTAAACAGAAGAAAAAAGTATTGCAAATTATCAATCAGGCAAATAAGATTACTGGTCACAAACAAATTTCACTGCAGATTCTATTTGACTCTTTATGGATAAAAAAAAACACCAATTGCGATTTTTACAAATAATACACATCCCCCTTCACTCGGCTTTTGAATTGTTACCATTAGAACGCAGGTTTAGAATTCCCGAAGAAATGCTTAATAAAAGTCATTTATCCCAATGGCAGTTGTTGTTTTAAATCAGATCACTGTTTGAAGTGAATGGGGTGGTTGCCAAGAATGATCTGCAGTAGCTTGTATGGAGCCAATTTGGTTTTTAAACTTTTAACTTGTGTTGTTGTCTTGATGAGTGTTGTTATTGTGTGATTGTTGTATGCATGCAACTGTTGTTTTAAATCCATTGTTAAATTTCCTTTCTGTGGCAAGCAGAACAGACAATAAATTTTAAACTTAAATAAAACAACCAAGACTTTCTCCTGAAGAAAAAAAATATTTAAAAAATACTGTGAAAAATTGCTCTGTTAAACATCATTTGGGAAATATAAAAAAATAAATGTAAAAAATTCACAGAAGGGCTAATAATTTTGACTTTAACTGCAAGTCTAATGCATTTGAATAAGTTTAAAATTTTATCATGATCAAGAAAATGACACCTCTACATTGTTTTCCTTTTCAGAATCACAAAGCTATAGGATTCCCGAGAACAGACACTTCCAATCAAGAAAATATGTTCTCCAAGAAATCTGAAAAGCCCTCCAATATCCTTGCAGTATGAATTACAACACATTATTATACCAAGAAATATTGTACTCAAGTAGCTGGATATCAGATGTCTAGCATCATTCCTGCTGTTCTCATCCTGCTTCACATTCAGGGTCGCTACAGAGATTGTTTAGAATAAGTGCTTATGTAATGAGCTTATAATCGAATGCATTGTCAATCATCAATAAAACACACCAAATCCAGACTGCAGTTTTACTTACATATTGATGAAGGCTCAACTCCTGTAATCATTCACCTTCTTCCAGTGCTGGAACGTCTGACCTCCATCCAAAAAGATATCTTTAAAGGCTGCAGACACATCTCTTCTAATTCACCACCTTACTATGAAGTGCACTTAAAAATGAATTATTCCTGCTCTGCTCTGCTTTTGCACTTCTCTGGAAATTTTTATGATAGCACAATTAATTTGCAATAATTTCACTCTTAGAATAATATTAAATCAATTATTATTAATTAATAAATTCATTATTCTGGCTGAAAATAAATGCTGCTGGTCCCGCATTAGCTACTGCATGATTCACCAATCGGATGAAACCTAACTCATTATAAATAACCAGAGCTCCTTACCTCAGTCATCTTCGGTTTGAAGAATCCCCCCTTCCACCACTACTCATCCTTTCTTTTCCTCGATAGGGCAGCACAGCAGCCCAATGGTTAGCACTGTTGCCTCACAGCTAGAATGTCACTGGTCCAAGTCTCTCGAGGATCTTATGGGCTCAGGGCTCTCTCCCAAAACAGCATGCCAAACACGCTCTATAATCAATCATCAGCTAAGTGTGAACTCAATGTTTAAAATGTTTATAAAAAAGACAGATTAAAAAACAATAATATTCCAGGATCAGTTCTGTGGGTGAATATGCCTTGTTGATGGTTTACCTAAATAAAAATGTATAAGCGTAGCCTACTATGTTAGGTGTGCCACAGAATGTTTAATCAAATCTTTGCATTGACTTCACATGTAAATCACACACTTCATCCGCGTTTGCTTACTGCACAGGCTGCAAAACATTTCCCCCTACTTCCATGCAATGGTTGGATTGTGAGGGCGCAGGTGAGATGTCATTTTTCGAGAGACGCTCAAATACATCACATGCACTGCATATGCAATGTCTATAAGTCATGTAAAACAATAAATTGCAAACTGAAATAAATATAATTTAATTATATGGTTTGGAATTTGATGCTTTATTAGATTATTTAATTTTTTTGCTAGTATTTTGCGTTTAATTAAGAGTATTACTGGGTCAAAAAATTTGAGACTTGTTGATTTTGTGTGGATTTAGCGATCGCGGAATCGCGAAAAGCTAAGGGGTCTGGTTAAGTGATTATGACATTAAAAAAGAGGCGTGGCACCCAACCCCACACCTAAACCCAACCGTCATTGGGGGATGAGCCAATCGTACTAAATAGTACAAATGAGATCGTACAAATTCATTCAAATTAGACACTAATCAAAAAGTTACGAATTGCCATGAGATTTTGTTGGTAGATCTGCATTTGCATGTCTAGTTATTTATCTTATGAATTAAGTCATATTATTATTATTAATAATAATGGTAATAACTATGAAACAGGCTAATACCACAACCTGCCAATCTAGCTTAAAATAACAAAGTTTATTTAGTTTATAGAGTCTAACAAGAAAAAAATTAGTTCTGAAAATTAAAGGATGGTTAATAGTACATTTTATCATAGACACCCAAAAAATGCTTCAATTTCTCTGTTAATGAGGCCTTTAACCTGTAAATAGTCACAAAATGATGACCATTCTGCATGAAAACACACTTTTGAACTCTGTGTTGAAGGTAATGAGTTATGTAAAGTTCACATGATTAGTTTCAACTTAAATGATTTGTAGCAATTTGTTTCCTCAAACAGTTTGAGTTGTTTTAACTTAATGGGTTTTACAGTACTCAGTTGGTTTGAGTACTCTTCATTTATTGGCTTTTACTGTGCTCTAATTGCTGTTTACTCAAATGGATTACGTTCACAGTACTCATTAGGATTAGTTTTTAAACTTTTCTTAAATACTTAAGAGTTACCTTAACTTTTTGGGGTTTTACAGTGTACAATGTGCACTGAAAAAACGCTGGGGAATGAAGTAATAAAGTTAACTTCTTAGTTTTTACAAATGTAAGTGGATTGAACATAAAACAATTAAGTTGTCCTCTCCAAAAAAACTCAAGAATTGTGTTGTTTAGCTCATTGTAAATGAGTCATTTGAACGAACAGCATTTTTTGAGAGCGTTGGAGAATTAAAAACAAAAGAGGAAGTTATTAAAATATTGTGCCATTTTTATTTTGTGTAAAAATCACACAGCTGCTAGTTCATTCTGCAGAGACACATCCATGCAGTTAAACATTTATAATCCCACAGCCATTATATAAGCAATTAAATAGAATATTTGCTGTTAGTCAGCAATTAATGCAAATTTACATATGAGATCAAAAGGTGTGTATAATACAATATACAACATACCCCTGATACAGTAAATCAGCCTGAACAGCAGGGAGAGAAAGGCTCACCTTGATTTAACATGGGGGGGACATTACTGTGAAAACCTGCACACCAGGAGATAAGGCTTTAAGGATGAGCAAAAGAAAACATGGACATCGGTCAAAACAAACGAATGAATGAGAGACACGCAGCAAAGTCTATGTAACAACACAAACGTCACACTAGCTCAGACATTACAGATACAAATCAAGTGGTTCATATCGGGAAGGGGGGGGGGTTGCTTCTTTACAAAATGAAATTGTGAATGACATGCAAAAAATTGTGACGTGTAAAGACAAACAAAACGACACCGGAGGGAAGAAAAGTGCAGTCACTGTTTCAGGTCTCGTGTTTTTACGTACTGATGATGTCACAGAGTTGATGATGCAGGATTGAATCTGATGATGTACCGGATTTTGAGACCAAGAGAGGAAAGTCTGCCTTCCCGGGAAGAAAAAAAACTGTACACGTTTGATTGTTTGTGTTTGTTAACAGAAGAAAAAGCTGTGTTTGATGCCATACACTGGTAACTGTTGTACTCCAACTCTCTTACATAAGTCATGCCGTCCACTCGTATGGCAAGGTAGAGATATAAACAGACAGTTCAACCAAAAATAAAAATTCTGACATTTGCTTAAAGACCCAAATTTGTCAAAACCTCTATGACTTCAGTCACTTTTTGAAGAATACTGAAGCCAATCTTTTTACTAAAATGAAAGTAAATGAGGGACTACAAACAAGAGAGGAATGAATGGATCATAAACTATAGAACTGTTAATATAAAATAGCTTTGTGCAAGGAAAAAAAGTTTAGTAGATAATATTGGTAATTTTTTTTTCATAGCAGCAGCACTGTCTGATTTGCAATGATTCAATGACTCACTTGATTTTGATTCAATGATTCTGATGATTCTGAAAAAAAGAATCAGCAATTTTGAATTCAACATCAGCAGTTCACTGGAGCAAAAGTTTCTTGCACAAAGCAATTTTATTTCAGAACTAAAATTTTGATCACTTTTTGTTCCTTCCATTGCATTTGTGGAGCTTGCCAACATCAATCATTATAATTTTTTTCTTTACCTTAAAAATATTATCCAAAATAATAATAATAAATGTTTGTTATGACATAAGGACAAATAAAAGAATTATCATTTCAGATTGAACTCTCCACTTAAAGGGATGTTTGACCCCAAAAATTAAAATTTGCTCATTATTTGCTCACCCTTAAATGTTTCCAAACCCTCAGGAGTTTAATTATTCAGTTGAACACAAAAGAAGAGCCACTGGCTCCACTGGCATCTATAGTAGGAAATAAAATAGTATGCGAAAATATCTCGTTTTGTGTCCAACAGAAACTTAAACTGGGTTGAAGCGAAAGGATGATGAGTTAAATAAAAACAAAATAATTATTTCCGGGGTTGAACTATCCATCTAACAAGTGCCTGTCAGAACCGATTTTCCGAAGCATACTCCTAAAATAAAATGATCTCCCAAAGAAATGAGTTCTCCCCTTTATATGACCAGTGCATGGCCTAAAATGATTGTCTGAGCGCACACACGGGTGCCTCGAACATGGAAGAACGTGACAAGCTGCCCCGGGACTCTGGAGAACAGGAGGGGAAGAGGCTCCTTCATGTTAACCAGAATTACAGCCTGCTGCCGGCCATGACGTCAGGCTTCACAAGCTAAAGATAACTTGTGATTTCTGGAGCTTTACACATACAACCACTCAAACATTCTGTTTCATCAAAGTGCCATAATGGACAATGTTTCTGGACTCTGTTCCTCTGAATGGGCTGCACAAGACAGAACTGAATCTGGAGGAAGCAGCGATTTTAGTCTGTTCTCTCACAGTCTTACAGAGGAGCAGAGATGGGTGAAATGGACATCCTGCCAGAGGATCCAACAGACCACTCAAAAAAAACAACACAACAAACAAGTAAAAAGAAGGGGAAAAAAATGGGGTGACCATTCTTTCATACACACAAACATTCAATCTGAAGCTTGCACACACTGGTTACAAATGCGAAAAAGGTCTAAGCTGTTCCAGTTGCACTTCAAGCGATATTCTTTCTTCTAGCAGGTCCTAAAAAAACAGGATTTAGGAAAATATGAATTATAAGACATTAAAATATTAAGTGTCTTTCAATGCGATAAGCTCCTTTCATTAGACACCTTAAAATACCTTCAGTTGTTGCTGTAATTCACTGTTGAGTCTGGCTAAAACCGTATTCGTTTCTTTGTTTCTTCTAATGGAAGCCTGAATGGCCTTTTTGTCTTTACCGAGAGACCTGTTTTTAAACAGAGCATATAGGAGGCAGACGTTAATACACATGTAAATACAGTGAACAATGCTGGTTAAATCTCACAGCAAAAATTCCAGGATGTAGGTATCCAAGCAGCATTTTTTAAAGATTTGTTTTGTTTAATTGTGTAGCATAAAATATGCAAAATAAAACTTCAAAAAACAACAGAAACTGCAACATGAAACAAAAATCTAAACATGAAAAACCCCCAAAAAAATGCATAACAAAACCAAACATAAAACCAAACACAAAATAAAAAAACTAAATGAAACACGAAACAAAAAATACAAAACATGAAAAAAACTAAACAAAACATGAAACAAAAAACTAAATGAAAAACAAGAAACAAAACTAAACTAAACACAAAACAAACCATAAAACTCCAAACAAATCATGAAACAAAATACAAAACAAAAAACATTAAACCAAAAACACTAAACAAAATATCCGCAAAACATAAAACAAAAAAAATGCAAAAAAAAAAAACTAAACTAAACACAAAAACACAAAAATCACGAAACAAAACACAACTAAATGAAAAACAATAAACGAAAGAAACACAATACAGGAAACAAAAACATATGCAATACTAAACATAAAACACATAACTCCAAACAAATCATGAAACAAAAAAAAAACACAAAACAAAATAAAACCAAATAGAAAACAAAGCACAAATTAAATCAAACCAAACCAAACCAAACCAAAACAGTGATGTTTACCGAGGAATTGAGGGCTGTGTTGCTAGAACAGTGGCTATGACGTTAGACTTTTGAGGAAGGTCGTCCACATCTGGTCTGAGCTCATCTTCTGACTTCAGTCTTCGACGGACGGGTTTAGGAGGCGGGGCCAATGGAGTGGATACTTTGGCCTATAAATAACACACATTCAGGAATTACAAAGTGAAGCACTATTATTAATATGAACTGTGGTGCACAGAGACTGCCTTACAGAGTTGACAGTGGTTGCATTTCGTTCTTCGGCTTGAACGTCGTTCTTTGCTGTTCTCATCGTCCCGGCAGCTTCTGGCAATCTTTCTGCCTGTATATGTAGAGTTATTTTTGGAGAGAAATGAACACTTTACCACTTTCATTCGCCAAAGATGCATTAATATTATCAAAAGCAACAGCGAAGACTTACATTGTTAGGAAAAACCATGTTGATCCTTTGAACTTGATTATATAAAGTATATCACAAAACAAAATAGTTTTATAAAGCATACGATTTTTCTGAACAAACAAAAAAATGGTTTGCAATAAAAAAAACACAGTTCTTTCCCTAACTGCTAAAAATTCAGCTTTGACATCACAAACATAAATTGTTCAAATAAATTAAAATAGAAAAACTGTTATATTTAATAACAATTTCACAATATTAAACTTTTGTATTGGGTATATAAACATAAAAATAAAGCCACTAAAATACTGATGATCAATATCAATATAATTAATTAGGATTCTTTATACCTTAATTAAATATAATAGCAACTTTAAATATTTAGATAGATAACTATATTATATACATATTTCATTTTAATATATATAAATAATATAAATCATTTACATTTATTACAATTATGTAATTCAGTGCTTTTCACAGGTCTGAAATATACTTGTGGTGGTAGCCTGATTGAAACACCTTTTACTCACAACACAAATGGTCAACTACATGCGACAAACAAAAAAAATAATGTAATTTTTAACTATATTTTGGGTTTATTATGACACTGTTAAACACCTTTTCTTTACAATGGGTTAAAGTTATTTAAAAAGGCTGTTGAAATGAAATAAATCCACTATTTCTCTTACTTTTATGTTATTTAGGAGCCATGTGCACCCACAGACAGTTAAAGACTGCTCTCTCTCTCTCTCTAAAGTTGCTTTATTGGCATGACATAGTACAGTATTGACAAAGCATTTTAGATATGTATAAAGTGTGTAATAAATTAACATCATTAAATTATTAAAATATACTGAAAATTAGAAATACACAACAGAAAAAAGAAATAAATATAGACATTACTCCTAAAAATGACAATAATTACTAGAATAAAAAGTGAAGATTATTTAAATTAGTTGATTGGTAATTTCTTATTGTGTACAAATATTTTTCAGCCAGTATATTTTGTTCTGTCCTAGTATATAGTAAAGTTTATCTTGGTCGTTTCAAAAATGATTAATTATTTAAATAAATCTTTTAATTGCGAAAAGATGAAAAGCAAAAACGCAAACGAATAATGGCAATGTTAGAAAGCGAAAACCCGAATCCCAAACATTTTAGAAGATTCAAAAACAACAGTCGGATTGTGTGAGTATTGACTGTTCTCGCGCACACAGAAACAGCAGTAGGAAACGTGCAGAGCGAGAGAAGATTTTCTACTGGTTAATCGATCATGAATGTTTAGCTTTCTTGGACAGATACAATAAAGTGTAAAGTTGGATTTATACTTTCGCCTGGTGCCGCATCGCGCATCTCTGCTGACTGCGTGCGCACCTCGCGAAACGGACGAGGCTTTTATACTCGCCGCGTTCACTGTTGTGATATTTTTTAAAAGAAAAAAAGAAATCCGTAAAGACAGACGGATACACAGATAAGTTGAAAGTCTCCTGAACTACGTCAAATCATTAATATCATTCAGAATTTTTAAGCTAATTATTTTTATTGTTTTTATAAATTATTTTAATGATTATAGGGATTTTTATAACAATTCAAGATTTTTTAAATCAAACGTTGATGCATCACTTGCTTTTGTTCGTATCTTGGACAGTTTTACCTATTAAAGTTTAATAAAATATTAATGGCAACAGAACATGAGTTGCTCTACAAAAATATTTTTTATTATGACAAGAATAAAAGCAAAACAAAAGAGCACACTTGCTAAAAAATACAGATGTTTTTTTTTTTAGATTTAGCCTGCTCCACAATTTATACATTACTGTCAGGCTAGTTTCTGTCCTCAATCATGCTAAAAAGGCAATAATGGTCCAACATGACCGTTATTATCAATAAGAGAACGGGTATCAGTATTTTGTAAGTTGATAACTTCAAAAATTCCTTTCCAGTTATCAAAGAAGTAATCTGTTCCTTAAATATAGTTTTGTAACTATTAAATTACTTTAAATTCACAATTGTATATATACATCAGTGTAAAAATACATGACTGGATTTCTTTAACTAGATTTTAAAGAAATTCACTCATCATTTACTCATCCTTGACTTACCTTTTTTTGTTCAGCAAGAAGCAAAACTCAAACTGGTTTTGAACGAATCAAAGGTGAGTAAACAATGACATAATTTTTGGGTGAACTCAGACCCATTTCTTTAATACATATTCATGTTTAGGCAAAACAATTAGCTGTTAATTTTACTCCACAAAAATAGAGCTTTAAACAAAATAAATGGCTCCATTCGTACCTGTCCACCGTCAGATGGATTCTCCCCATCATCTGCTGGCTGGTCCACAGCAAAAGCCTTGAACTGGCTAAAGTCAGCAAAGTTGGGCTGTTCTGGCATTTGCTGGGGCGACGTGCTGGTGTGTGCTGGAAGACCATCTCCCTCTACCGAACGATGACCATGTGGCACTGATGTCTGAAGATTTGAAAATCAGATATTTAATTATCCTTCTGAAAAAAAAAGCTTAAGAGATGACAGCAGTTTAATCCTCTTTGCTGAGCTCTGGACTGTACCTGTGTGGGCAGTGGTCGTGGAGGCACTGCTGGAGGAAAGGCCACTACTCCTGCCTGCTGGGAACCTGCTTGAGAAGTGGAAGCAAAAAGAACTTCAGCTTTTTTTTAACAACAACCCGTCATAAAAGGAAGCTGTGATTTACCTGATAAGTGTTTGTGTGCATTAGGGGTGTAACCATACACGTATTTGTTTCAGAACACGTTTTTCTGTTCAGAATGCAGCTGTACAATAAAGTGTTTGGTCTTGGGTTGTGCAGCCTTTATTCTTCATGGAAATATTGTAATTGCTGTTTAAAACACGTTTAAAACTTAACAATGCAACGGTAAAGACTACCAAGTAGTGCAATTTATGAGCACTGAATGCAGCTATTATGAATTCAAAACTAGTCTGGTACCGCTGCTACTGAATGGTGGTGTTAAGTTACACGAGTGTGTTGTAAAGCACAGCCGTGTGCTCTTGATTATGGCTCCTTGTGTATCAATAAAGCAAAGTATAACTATTTTCGTTAACCAAATATGACAAGCTAAAAGCTTCTTAAAATAAATAGACACTTTCTTAGACTTGGACTTAAACACTATCACACTTAAAAAAAAACAAACAAACAAAAAGTAAAACACATGATGTGATTTAGCATCCCAGCCATACCGAAATAAACACAGCACACAGAAACAAGGGATGGTCTGACCGATCAGCCGATCATCACATTTAAATTCTCGATTGGTACTTGCCAATCTGGGCGATCTCATGAACCGATCGCAAGGCTTTGTATATGAGTTTACAAGCAGATGAAGACACATGTGCGCTCCCGTATAATATGCATAGCCGAGAGCAGCCACAATACGTGAGAAGGTGAATGATTCGTGGGGCGTGAGCAATCGATGCGTTCGTTTCACAATTGCTAAAATACATACAGATGCGGTGTGACCTGTTTACACAGTCTATTGGTGCGACTCGCATGAGTGATTATTTCTTTGTTGTAAGTGCAAACATTGTATTTCCAGTGTTTTGAGCTGCTGTGACACGAGCAGAGCGATCGCATCTATCTAGTGTCTCATCCAACCTTAATGACTTCTCCCAGAAGCTCTGAGAGTCTCCCACATATTTATACTGGCACAGGGATCCCTTAAAATTAGTTACAATACCCAGAAATCATGGCGAAGACAGTGAATGAGCAAAAGAACAGATCACGAAAGTGATGTTCTAAGCTGTATATACAACAGAAACCACTCTGAAACCAAGCGTGTGTGGGTATGTGTGAGATAGAACATCTATATATATATACCTGCAGGGACAGCAGCGAAGTTTCTGTTCATGTCTAGAGAGGAGGAGCGTGAGTGAGAGGCGTGTGGGCGGGGTGGAGGAGGAGGCGGAGCCACAACCTTCAGTCCTTCTGGAGACGTGCCAGAGTGAGACCTGTGATGTCATGAACTGTGAGTACTTGTAGGCTTGCAATGACACACCAAATGTTTAAACCAAAGTCAGAAATCGCAACTTCAATTCCTTTCAAATCTAATCCTGAGGCACAACAGCACAATGATGAGCAAAGATCAAAGTCGGAAGATCAAAAATAAAATACCTTTGCCTGTTCACAGCGCTGGAAATTGGCTCTTGATCGGATGTAAACGAATCTGAGCTGCTATATCCATCTCCTGTAAGAATGAAGGGTAATGGCTCAGTTTAAATTACAGGAGAGGATTTCCTGTCAGTCGACTGAAGGCCTGAATATAGTCCAGACATACTTACCGACAGCGGTACCAGGAAACTTAATAGCTGCTGCTAGCTTAGTCTCATCAGACAGTTCTGGGGGTTTTGTCATCAATGGACTTGTTGGATGTGTGTGATCTGTTAAAACAAATGCAAATAATCAAAATACTTCAATAACCAATTTACGTATTAATTAATATTAATAAAATAACATATTATTTATTTATATTAAAGGTTTAGTTCATCCAAACATTTGGTTACTAATTACTCACCCTCATGTTATTCTAATCCTGAGACCTTTGTTTATCATCCAAACATAAATTAAGATATTTGAGATGAAATCTGGGAGCTCTCTCATCATGCATTGACAGCATCCCAAGATGTTCAAAGTCCAGACAAGGAATCAAAAACATGATCAAAAAGTTCCACATGACTTCAGTGGTTCAGTTCCAAGAACACTTTTGTGTGCCAAAAAAGCTGTAGAAACATCTTTGTCTTCAGTGTCAGATGCTACATTTACACAGTTTGAGAGGTCGGTGCCTTGCTCAAGGGAATCACCTCAGCCGTAGTATTGAGGTGGATATTATTATTCATTCTCCCTACCAACAATCCTTGCTGGTACCGGGACTCGAACCTGCCACCTTTGGATTCCAAGACAAACTTTTTAACCATTAGGCCACAGCTATTAGCAAAATGAAGCTTTAAAAAGAAGATATAGGTGAGTCATATTTACTAGGGGGGTTTTAGGGCCCAAAAGTGTTCTTGGAGCTTCGTGTCATTACAATTGAACCATTGCAGTCACATGGAATGTTTTGACAATGTTTTTGGTTTCTTTTCTGGAATTTGAACATCTGGCTATGGAGCATGAAGGAGCTCTTGGATTTTATCTGAAATATCATAATTTGTGTTCTATAAAAGAACAAAATTCTCAGAGGTGTGAAAAGACATGAGGGTGAGTAATTAATAACCCCTACAATAAAGTTTAATTTATTATTACTTAATTATTATTATTATTACTCTGAAAAGTACATTCCAGTAACCAACAGGATTATATTACAGTCACAACATATTCAAAATAAACCAATATTTTATTTTGATTATCCTGTAATGAAGACTTTTCATCACAGTTGTATATGATATGATGATATATCTGTGTATATGATATGACAACAGTTTCTCCTCAGTTAAAGGGATAGTTCACACAAAAGTGAAAATTGTAAAAATTTACTGACCCTTGACCCTAACTTTTTTTTTTCTTCTGAAAACAAAAGAAGATATTTTGAAGGAAGTCGGAAACCTGCAGACATTGACATTCATAGTAAGAAAAAACTAAAACTAAGGATGTCGTTATACGTTTCCAAAATTCTTCAAAATATTATCTTTTGTATTTAACAGAACAACAACTGATTTGGAACAAGCACAGGATGAGATGACAGGATGACAGGATTTTCATGTTTGGGTGAACTATCCCTTTAAAAAGGTCAAAAGTGACTCTCAGAGCAGATCTGGAGATGTTTGATATTTAATTGTTCAGGTCTGTAAAGAGACAACAGAAGAAAACACTATTACATGTGCAAATGAAAACATGACATTTTCTATGAGATACATACATCTCACATTTCACAGACAACAGTACATATCAGTTCAATTAGTTGTGCATTCCGATACTCTGATTTTAACATGATTAAGACAATACTCTGATTAAGAGTCTACCATGTAAACAGCGATATTTGATTACCATAATCCGACTAAAGTTATAATCGAGCTAAACAGAAATCAAACTAAGAAATGGAGTATTCCTATTTTAGTCACATTATTGAAGTGCAGTACAGACATGTAAACACCTTTATCAAACTATTACCCTTTTGTAGAACTTTTTGCGACATTTTGCGTCAGGAAGCACACACAGCAGTTCAGGGATTTGACGACAAAGAATTGAGAATAACTTCAAGTAAGAGAGCACATTTTTGATGCAGGCGGGAAACAATGCTGAGAATTCAAAAATTCAAAATTCAAAATGAAACGCCCAAAATCACATATGGTGCAATGATGAACATGAACTGTTGCTGTGTAAAATGATGGAGGAAACTAGTATTGAATGGTGACGTAATGACAGTAATCAAACTATGTACTTTAAAGTGTAAAACATTCAAAAATCAACTTATGTAAACACTTTAATCCTACTATTGTCTTATAATTTGATGACTGATGTCTACTTTTACATAGACATTAGTAATCTAATTATAATAATAATTCTATATGAATAATGTGACTAAAATAAAAATGGGTTGTTTTCACATGACGTCATTGTAGGAAGTGATCCTTCTACAAAAGAATCACTATCAGAACATCAAAATGTTTCTGTTTTATGTTGTTTGTAACTGTTTAATTTGGCCAAAATAAGTAATGCTGAACAGCGTTTATGGACTTCCAAAAGTTTTTGCTCATAAGCGAGAAAGTTCAAGTAACTGGCTGGAAAATGGAAGAAAAGGTGGCAGGTAATAAACACCTTTTTAATACATCCATGTGTACAAACTTGTTTTGAACACGATCATTTGTTTGACAGCACCAATAAAGATTAAATACAGGCCTAGCTATGTGCATTATATGTTAATGTGTCATATAAAAATCATACAAACACCACCACACTTACACATAATAATTAATTTATCCTGCCATGTAATCGCTGCAATGAAATTTCCATATTGTTTTGCAATAAGCCAAGTCTTTACTGTCTGCGGAATAAACAACTGCAATGTGAACATCGAGATGCATAGCAGTGGTGAATGTTTGCTGATGGCAAGTTCATCGAAAGGACAAAAAAGAAATGCAAAACTAGACTGTCTTTTATTTTGGAGCACTTTTTCCCACTGACTAGAATAAATAAATAATAATGTAGACTATGTGTCCACATTTGTGTATGCTTTCAGCTGTTATTTCTATTTCTGATGTCTGGAAGATATCCGCATGGGGGAAAAAAAACTATAGTAATTTATAATAAACATGTTTTTGAACCACACAGAAAAGTGCATGATGCGTAAAACTCTTTGATATAGTTATAACATAGTAAACTGTTCAACTGTAATAATTACTGTAACATTAGTTTAAATTGTGAGCATTGTGATGGTGTGTAATTATAGCGTAGAAAACTGAAGCCTACTGAGTTTATTACTACAGTTGGGTTGTACCACAGCAACAATAAAATTACTACAACAGTTTAATTCAAGTAATAATCAGTAATATGCTTCCAAACTCTATTTACTAAAGAACTTTTTCATGTAATGTAGCTTACACAGCATATTACGCCTTTTAATACATTTTAATTCAGTAGAAAGCTCGACCCTTTTCATGATATAATGATCTCACCCTACTTATGTGGTTATTATATATATATATATATATATATATATATATATATCTTCTTTACAATATGATATATATAGCAAAAATATAGATTTACCTCTATGTCTCCCATTCAGTTTGTTACTTCCTGCCCTCCATCTGAATTTTGTGCGTCACCAGAGCCATGTGATTGCAAACAACCTAAACTCCCCACATGTCTTAATTCGATTTCTGTTTAGTCCCCTTACGACTTTAGTCGGGTTAAGGTAATCAAAAATCAATGTTTACATTGTAAGCATGGTTTACATGGACTCTTAATTAGAGTATTGTCTTAATCATATTAAAATCTGAATATCGGTGTCCTTCGGTGTTAATCGCAATGACTGCTTTCATTTTCATGTCTCATCGGAATTCTCTGTAAAAACACACATATATGAACGCACCACTTCCAGTTCTCTTGAGCTCCATCTCTTGCATGTGGATCTTGCTGGGCGTCATACGGATGGGCACAGGGTGAACTATTGCTGTATCCTGCAAAACAAGCACATCAACTGCTGCTGTCATCCAATCACTTCAGTCACAAACAATAACATGGAAAACTAGACAAGCATGGAATCACATCAAAACATTTCAGTCAAAGGACAGCCAGCAGAGTCATCACTCACTTGGATTACATGATAAAGTATGAAAGAAAGAGCGTGAAAAGAATTATCGGTCAGCTCAGCAAGCAAAAGAAAAAAAAAAAAAATCACTTGATGATGGCACTGCGGCTGTGAATTTATTCTGAGGACATGCGCTCTCAGAGAGAATTTACAGAGTACCAGGGTTAATGAACATCATTAATCATGAAAGAGCACTGAGTGATTGACTTACAGGGTCAGCTGGTGCAATGTTAGAATCAAATTGGGTCAGAGTTTGTGAGCTTGAGGAGCGTTCGCTAAAAGTCTCCCACTGCTGGAGAGACAGAGCAGAAACATGTCAGCAAGGTGGAGCCAGTCCACTCCTAACACAAGCACAAAGAGGACATAATACAACAACAGTGTGTCCTCGCTCCCAGTGATTCATCCTGCATTGTACTGCTGCATGCGTCCACAGAGAAGCTTTTGTTTTCTTAATGGCCTAATAGGCTGGGAGGGAGAATGGCGCAATTTTTATTTCCCTATTTTAATAGATAAAGGCTGCTGGCATCAGAAGTGAAACACCCAATTATTAGCATCTCTATATTCAGATAGTACAGACCTGGTTAAATGAGAAGAGTGTAACTAGCATTGTCAAACACGACAGGTTTTCTGAAAAGTCAATTTGTCTACCATTGGGTCAACCAAAAGTTTATTCCTGCTCTATACTCCACTGTCATTGGTTGAGCCAATACTGCTGTGTCAAACTAAAAACTATAGAAATAGTACCACCAGTTTTGTTGCTTGACTTGAACACTAGGTAAAATAACATTTATATTTAAAAGCTAGTTGCAATGGAAATAATGGAAATTATGGGTAAAGTACAAAACTAAAAAATGTTCATGCAATTAAAATTTGTTGAGCCGACAATTCCCATAATTCTGATAAATAGCCCTCAAATGTCTGTCTGTCATCAAATGTAGATTAGTACATCTGCGCACCCCTTTACGCAAATCTGTCACTGACGCGTGCACGTGGTTGTGCGTTCACGTGCACACTAGAAAGTAACAGCAGTAAAAACAAATGCTAAATCAAAACCTTTTAAACTTCTGAATCAATATTATAGTTACTTTTGCACGCCGGAGGAAGGTAGGATGACACCATGGCTGAAGTATTTCTTTTAGACAGGTAATGTTATGTTTTAAAATTATTTTAGTCAGGCAAAACTGATGTAGATTTTGTGTTGTTCAGCCACTGAAATCTCCCGAAGAAAGATTGATGTGACTATTTTCAATTGTATAAGGTATCTTTTACAGCATCGATAATGTCGATTTTTATTTAGTTTAAAGTTAAAATACTTTAATAAACATCTAAAACAATAATTACAGCTACAAATAAGAGACTTATTGAAAGTAATGATTAAACATCAATACCTAACTGTCCCCAAACCTATTTTTGCATTATTTAACATTATTTAACATAACATAATTATTAGTTTCAACTACTAACAAGCCTATAATAAATTACAAGATACAAAATTATAATTATCAAATAACTATGATATAATGTCATGTTTATGGCTTAGCACATAACAAATTTATAAACGTTTCAGACTTCCATTTCAACATCAGAGAGTGGCATGGGAAATTAGGGCTGCACAATATATCATTTGAGCATCGATATTGCAATGTGTGACTTGCAATGTTAAGTTATGAATATATATGACCAGAATCCACAGGTCAAAACATATGAGATTTGTGAAGACACTGCAGAACTGAACCACAATAGAGTGAAAGTTTATCATCTGCATGTGTACTTAAGGCCTATGTGAACATTAAGAGTTCTCTTAAAAGCATTTTAACCCTTAAAGACCTAGGGGTATTTTGAGGGCACCTAATGGGCCTATATTATTATTTTGTTTTTTAAAGCAGTTTTATTTTTATTTTAGCAGTCAGACTCAAGTGTCATATATTATTTTAAACAGGAGAACCTGAAGTTTCAATCTGTATCATTTAAAGGTCCAGTCTAAAACTTTTTTTGGTCCAAAAACATATGAACAGACAGAAAATATTCCAGAATTTTCCAGAAACGATTTTTAAAAAAAGTGGCATTTTCTAGTTATTATAAACAAAACCTTATGAAGTTTGTTTTTCTTTCTTTAGAAATACATATTATGATGTTTTATACTTCCACAATAAATTTTGTCTACATCCACCATTCCCTGAGCATGTTATAGCAATTTATTTCAATGTTATTTCAAGGCGTTTTTCAATGGGGGGAAAAATGCATTTATTTACTGACAATGTATTTGCCCAAGAGTTCTGGGAATGAACTAAACAGAAAAAAAATGTTACAAAATAACAGAACACTGAAGCAAATTTGACTTTTTTCCAAATAATATATTTTTAGTTACCATAAACAACACCACTTATAATAAACAAATATAAAATAAGAAAATAATAAATAATGGGTCAAAGTCCAAATAAACATGGTGCAAATCCTCAGTAAAAAATAGATATAAATATTTACTATACTATAAATAGTTACATAACTAAACTAGATTCAATATGGACCATCCTTAGGTTTTATGTGCCAGCATGGATATGGTTGTCTGCGGATATGTATATGGTTCGCGTGCAATGCAGACAAACAGCCCAACCTTTATTTGCGTCCTTTGAAAACAACAAGAGCAGCAGTTCGTCTTTGCTGTGTCACTGTTTTGTCATGTTTTTGTGCTGTTGTGCATGCAAAAGTACTTAGTATGAGAATTATTTCATGCAAAACTTTTTTTTAGCGTTTTATTTAGACGCGCGTAAATGTGTAGCCTATCTCTCATTCCGTGTTGTTCAAATAGCTGATTGTTGGTTCACAAAGCGAAACCTAAGCTTATTGGTTGAGATAGAGCGAGTTTGAACCAATCTGGGCATGGAGGAGGGACAATGCATCCATATATCATGTCTGGTTTGTCCGGAGAGACAAGTGACGAGCGTTCCTTTGTCAAATCAGCGTTGTCAAAATTTGATGACGTAACCACACTGATTCCGGAGCCTCTGAAAGTCCGTGAATGTAATGTGATACAGCGATGGAAAGCTGAGAGTCTCTTCTTTATGCCAATCTTTGAATTGTATGGATCGGATCAGCGGATCAAAAGTTATTAAACATTTAAGAGCAATACTTATTTTTAGCCGCGGGCGGCTGTCTCGGTCTTTAAGGGTTAATGCAAATGTATTAAAATATTATTTAAAAAACTTGTCATTTTTATAGCTTAGTATATTATAAATGTATTAACTATGAGAAAAAATAAATAAATCAGCATAATTATGACAAGTTATTTTGATCAATTTTAATAAATTTGATCGTCACCCTCTGTTAAAATGGAAGTCTGAGAAGTTTGTAAATAATAGAGTGTTCATCATAATTGAGTACACTCTATTTTGAAAATTAATATTGTTATCCATTTCTCAGTGAATATATGCAATGTATTTTGGTGCATTTAAACTGAAGAGATTTATTAAACAGATATATTTATTAAAATAATACTTTAGTCACAGAGAATCTTTAGAAATGGAAAGATAACACATTTAAAAGTATGCAAAATATTGCAAAACAAATGACAAACTACAACATTTCAACAAAATTGTATATATTTTTTTGTTTCTCTTGATTTTTAAAATTTGTATTTAATATTTTTCCCTAAAAAATAAATTTGGGTTACAAATTTTTGAACGATTATTGTAAGTTATTTTGTTAGATTAGCTACAGATTTGGCTTCAGTACTGACTATACTGTATGTACTATAATGTATATGTAATATGTTGTCATATTTTTTGCCTTTTTATGTAATATTAAACATATTGCTCACAAATGTGTAAACACAAAAAGTCTTATTTTTGACAAAAATGGACTTTTCAATATTTAGTAAATCTGTTTAGAAAAAAAATGTAGCATGTCACAAACTTAAACACCATCTTTCAATTATGACTTTTAATCTTACAAGTATGATTTTATCTAACTGATAACTGACTTTTAACCCTCCTTAAATAGCAGAAATGTGCATTAATAGAAATTTGCTTATCTTTTATCAATGTTTTAACTTTCTCCTTTTACAAAACGCCTTTATGCTGACATAACCTTGAAAAATAGCGTGCTCATGCTGCATTAAAATGATACAAACCATACGCGGCCTTTGTTTCACACTAAATACATAGTTTATCATACATACAGTACATAGTGACTTCTATCAAACATATTCCCAGAGCTTAATCGAAGAATTCTAAAATTTACTAAAACAATGTAACTTCGGTAAAACTCTTGACTATAAATCAGTCATTACAAGGAAGCATTTATTGCCACACAAATGTTACCGAGAATGTTACATGTGAGGAGATGAAAAGAAGCACCTCTTTCTCCCACCCAGAAGAGTATTAGTTTCATTTTCTAGTGAAGACAAAAGGCAGATAGAACCACAAACAACATCAACAGAATAATAGGGGACATCAAGTACTCTAAAGTCCAAACCTCATTGCTCTGGTTGAGCTCAGGCCAATTCTGGTTGAGGGAAGGCATGGAAGGAGATTTATTTGGAGTGACCTCGACAGGGGAAGCAGAGAAGCCCACCTCAGGAGCAGGTTCTGGAACTCCTGAAACACACAGAATAATGATACTGATAAGACTATAGACTAGCACAAAAGGTCATGAATGTCATAAAGATTTACAAGGATGCTCAGGTCCCAAGGATATATTGTATGTCTCAATTTAATATGTGAAACTGTTGCTAAGATACAAGCTCACTTCCTGCAAAGCTGTACTTATATTATTAGAATTAAATGCTAGATTGTTCTCTGACCACAACAGAACTCTAATGCAGAGATGTGAGACAATAACAACATATTATGGTAAATATAGGTCTATGAGAAGCAAAATTTTAAACAAACTGCATCCTTACATCTGTCTAGTAATGTAATGTATTTTTTATTTAATGCCATGTCAGCAACCAAGGCTATTTTCATGGCAGGAATCTTTCAACAATAAATATACAATTTAAAAAAATCAACAAACAAAATAAAACATAAATTAAATAAGATTTTTTGTGTTAATACATGATAAAAATTCTAAAATCTTTTCTGGATTCACTTTGTTAAAAATGTCCTTAAAAGAGTTTTATAAAAAAAGTCTTCTGGAATCAGTAAAAGCAGGACAGTCCAGTAAAATGTGTTTTACAGTAAGAGAAGTTTTGCAGGAAAAACATTGAGTGGGGTCTTCATCTTTAAGTAAAAAGGCGTGAGTCAATCTCGTATGCCCAATACGACATCTGGTAAAAACTACTTGATCAAATCGATTGTTAAAATATCTTAAAATTCTGTGTGAAATTTCAGGTTGGATTTCATGTAGTTTATTGTTTTCTAATGCATTCCATTCCTTTTGCCACTTGTTTAAAATGTAAGCGTTTATAAAAGGTTTCATCTCTGACGGAGGGATTTGGCATTTGTTCACTACTTGCTTCAAAGCATCTTTAGCAGCTGCATCAGCTCGCACATTGCCTGAAAGTCAGACATGTCCTGGAACCCAGCAGAAAATGATGTGATAAAATTGATTTTGTAGTAGGTGAACTTTAGTTAAAATATTATCAATCAAAGGATGATCATTCTTTGAAGATTCCATAACTTGGAGGCATGATTTAGAGTCTGTAAAAATGATAGATTTCTTTTGTTGGGCATTTTCTATAAACTCCAATGCTAAAAGTAAAGCACGGGCTTCAGCTGTAAATATGGAGCATTCTTTAGGCAGACTGATTCCATAATGTTGTTGACCAGTTACCATTGCTGCTGCTACGCCATTTTCCACCTTTTTACATCAGTCTAGACATTGTTTTCTATTTAGTGTTTGCAAGAGACTTCAACTTAAATTTCCAATTTTGATTATTGTGATAATAATAACTGCATCAAAATTAGGTCTTGCTCCTCTTAATACAGCACATATTAGACTTAGCAGATTTGTTCTGGGTTGTCCTTTTTATACACATCATATATTATACAATGATCTACTCCAGTGGCTATCTTTCTTTCACAGACATATTCACTGACTTCAATTTGTATTTAAATGTATTAATTTGAAGTATCCTTATTATTTACGACAATGTCTGTATTTTTTCCCTTAAATTATCAAGTTAGACATTCGGTTCAGACTAATTAAAATGTTCCTTTTTTTATCTATTGGTAAAAGAGCTTTTATGTTTAATGGTCTTTTATGTTTGCTGGCCATGTGGAAGGAGGTGAGCTTCCCTCCCTCCAGGACATCTACACCAGAAAATCATCAGCGACTCCAGCCACTCAAGCCATGGACTTTTCTTTCTGCCACCCTCAGGCGAACAGTTCCGCAGCATCTGGTCACACACCAGCTGACTGAAGAAAAGCTTCTTTCCACTGACTATCAGGCTGATGAACACTTAACACACCTCAGACAAACTCTTTCCATACCCCTCACTGCATAGCATCTAGATGCACTTTAACCAATCCTTACAATATTGCTTACAATAATTTTCCACCAACAGTCTGACTGTTTTCACCTACTCTTTGTCTTCTACATATTACTGTCAACATTGCTAATTGTATATTGTTTTGTTTTTTGGGAGTATGTTGTTTTATGCACTACCAATGTCGTTATTTTGCACTATGGTTGTATTTTGCACTTGTCTGTATATCTGGAGCCAGCACTTAAGCTTTCCACTCTTCATAGTACACGTGCTGCTGACGATGCAACAATGAAGGTGATTTGATTTGAATGCATTGGAATTATTTACCTGCTAACATTCGATCCATTGCATAATATAAGGTGTTTAAGCAAACTTTGCTGCCATATTTTATTTTGGACTGTTCTTGTTTTTCCTGAAGATGTGGTGATTTGATTACCTGAACTGTACATCTTTTTGTACTATGTGTATATGTATGCTACTTCCCCTTTTATTAATGTTTGTTGTTGTTTTATGGATGTGATGTAACTTATGTTTTGTTTTTGTCTTCTTGTGTTATTATGTGTTTGCGATTAATTGTGGGACCCCCTTGAAAATGAGATGGTACATCAAGTGGTTAATAACAATAATAATAATATAATTCCTTACATTTGTATAGCACTTTTCTAGACACTCAAAGAGCTTTACACATTGGGGGGAATCTCCTCATCCACCGCCATTGTGTAGCATGCGCCTGGATGACGTGACGGCAGCCATATTGCGCCAGACCGCACACCAGCTGATTGGTGGAGAGGAGACACAGTGATGAAGCTAATTATGATATGGGGACGGTTAGGAAGCCATGATGGACGGAGGCCAGTGGGCAAATTTGGTCAGGACGCCAGGGTTAAACCCCCTACTCTTTTCCGAAGAACATCCAGAAGGTTTCACAACCAGCGAGAGTCGGGACCTCGGTTTAACATCTCATCCTAAAGACAGCGCTCACTGAAGCAGTATAGAATTCCCTTCACAATACTGGGGCGTTAGAACCCACACAAACTGCAGGTTGAGTGCCCCCTGCTGGCCTCACTAATACCATTTCCCTAAAGAATAAATACATAGTACATTTCACTACAAGCCAAAACATAGGCGAAGTAGGGTGAAGGCTTAGGAAGATATTTATCACTTTTAGAAATCCTGAAGTGGGACTGTCTGGAAGAAAATGTTATTTAAAATGAAAGTAACAAAACAGGAGAGACAACCCACACTATACTTTAAAACATTGAAATGGTTGGTAAATGTTTTGTCTCACTTTAAATATTTTACGCTCACCAAGGCTACATTTATTATTACAGTAAATTCAGTAAAAAAATACTATTTTAAATAACCGTTTTTAAAGGGATAGTTCACCCAAAAATGAAAATTCTGTCATCAATTTACTCACCTTTTAGTTGTTTCCAACCTTTATGAGTTTCATTCTTCTGATGAACACAAAAGATAATATTTTGAAGAAAACTGAAAACCTGTAACCATCGACTACCATTGTATTTGTTTTTCCTTCTATGGAAGTTGATAGGGACAGATTTTATGATTTGTGTTAAACAGAATAAAGCAACTAATAAATGTTTGGCACCACTTGAAAGAGAAAATAATGAGTAAATATAGTTTTTTTTGCATCATAACAGTGTTAATAAATAATGAAATGTAATTCATTTATGTGATGGCAGTCTTCAGTGTAGAAATAATTCTAATGTGCTAATTTAAGTAACATTTCGTCTCTTGTGAAAAGTATGAATGATTTCTTCATACCTTTCTGTGCACCTGTGTCACTTTGAGCAAATCACATTCAGAAAATAGGTTTAACCAGCCCCCTGAATGTAGCTCTGCGAAAGGTTTTGAAATAACCAGGCTGTTTATTGCTCAATTTGAAGCTGTGGTGTGCATGAGGCTTTTCTGCTTACCCGCTGAGTCATCCAAGTCAATAAGCTTTGGCATTAGGCTCTCGGGGAGCTTTTCAGGAAGGTCATAACCATTTTTCCTTGCGACCACAAGATGAAATGCAGCACAGAACTCATCCAGGGTCAGTGCACCATCTTTATCGAAATCTGATAGCTCCCTGCAAGGTACAGCAGTTCAGTCGATACAGATAAGACAAATATTTTAAGGTATAAAAAAAGCACACTGGAATAATATAGTGTTATACAGTAACTTGCTTTTTTTTCCAAGCAACAATAACAAATGGCTATGATTAATAACCGATGTCGTTATTTAGTAGGTCTTTTTTACACATCTGTTTTTGACAATCCAAACCAATGTATCTCATGTCAAAGTACTTACCAAATGTGAGACAGTTCTAGAATAGGCAGTTTTGACTTTGTAAAGAATTCTTTTGCGGCAGAGCCTGAATAACAGAGGATCAACATATTTTAGGCCGGTAAGTTTAATTGTGTAAACCACAGAGAGAATGTTATTGTTTAAAACTGGGTCTCACTAACCTGGGATTAAACCAGTTAGATCTGCTTGAATGGTCTTGAACTGGTTTATGTAATACTGTCTTTGCTCATCTGTGATTTTCCAGGGGTCGTCGTAACCACTGGTCTGTCTTTGGATTTCATTTGTGGTCATTGCAGATGGCACAGTCCGTACTGTTGAGCTCTCCGTCTAGAGCAGAAGAGGGGAAAAATAATTATATACATACACACAAAAACACACACTCACACATGTATGCATACATACAGTTGAATTTTTTTTCTTTTTTAAATATTTCCCAAATAATGTTTAACAGAGCAAGGACATTTTCACAGTATGTCTGATAAAATTGTTTCTTCTGGAGAAAGTCTTATTTGTTTTATTTCAGCTAGAATAAAAGCAGTTTAAAAAAAATAAATAAATAAAAAACATTTTAAGGTTATTTACCCTATCTTGCCTAATTTACCAAATTAACATAGTTAAGCCTTTAAATGTCACTTTAAGCTGTATAGAAGTGTCTTGAAAAATATCTAGTCAAATATTATTTCCTGTCATCATGGCAAAGATAAAAGAAATCCGTCATTGGAGATGAATTATTAAAACTATTATATTTAGAAATATGTTGAAAAAGTCTTCTCTCCGTAAAACAGAAATTGGGGAAAAAAATAAACTGGGGGATAATAATTCAGGGGGTTTAATAACTCTGACTTTAACTGTATATGCATATATGTATGCAACAGTATATTTGAAATATACTTGCGGTGGTAGCCGACTTGAAACACACCATTTACTCACATCACATAAATAGTTAACCATAAGCGATAAACACAACATAACTACATTTTTAACAATAATTTTGTTTATTATACAGTTTCTTTTCGATGGGTTATAGAAAAAAAAAGACTTTCACAATTTCTTTTTTATGCCATTCAGGAGCCATGTGCACCCATTGACAGATATAATCTGCTTCTCTCTCACTTTCAAGTTCAAAGCAAACTTGAATGCCAAGGCATTTTAGGTAAGTATATAAAATAGCCCATGTAAAATATTAACAACATCAAATTAGTGAAATAATCAGCAAATTAGAAATAAATGACAGAAAAAGGAATAAAAATAGACAATATATCCTAAAATGATCATAATTACAAGATTAATACTTGTAGATTATTTAACTAAGGCAAATGCGTTGATTAACCATTACTAATGGTGTACATAAATTTTGCAGCCAGTTTAGACCATTAATTTAGTCCTCTTCGAGTATATAGTAAAGTTTTTCTGAGTTTTTAGATTTAAAAAATTAAGTATTTAATGTTTCTCTCGCTCGTGACAGTTGCGAAGCCAAGTGAAATTAGGTATGTAAAAGTAAGTAAAAAGGTAATGCAAAAACGCATACGCGCAAAAGTTGAATCCTAGACATTTTTGATTTAGAACCCTGACTGGACAAAAAAAGCACACCTCTGTGAGTCTGCAGAGCACGTGAGATTGTCTCTGAGAGTGCTGACAGGTCTCACGCACACAGAACGAAATGGGTAAACAAGAGATTCTCCACTACTTAATCGATGGCGAATGTTAGGTTATTGGGAGGATACAAAGGAAAAAGTAAAGAATGTTATTAAAAAATGTGTCACTAAATATGCTTGGGCTGCCGATAATATACCTGGGCAGCCCCAATAGTAAAGTCTATGAGTGGGAAGCACTGTACATAAATACATAAATACATACATACATACATACATACATACATACATACATAGATAGATGCATAGATGCATACATACATACATACATACATACATACATACATACATACATACATACATACATACATGCATACATGCATACATACATACATACATACATACATACATACATACATACATACATACATACATAGTGCTCAGCATTGAGTAAACCCACTTTAAAATGAATTAAAATGTATAATTTTGGAGCATTTAAAAGCATTTTATCAAACAGTTATATCCATTAATATAAGAGCTTCTGTTTGTGTGTGTGTGTTTAAGAATAACTAAAATTTATTAAACAATTTTAAATGTTTTTTTTATATATATACTATTCAATCTGATGAATATGAGAATTTTAATTGTAAAAGTCTGTCAATTATTCTTTCCTACTTTTTAATCAGTAGTATAAATAGTGGCACAGCATTCATGCAATGTCTTCAGCTATTCAGTTGTATGCCAGAGTATAATGTTTAAAAAAAATGGTGACACATTTAAGACAGTTAAAATAACAAATCAGAGGATCCCAGGTCTTGATAAACATAAAGCATACACTACTTATTTGAATGATAATTAGCATCCATTTGGGCTTCGACAAATATTTACAACAATCCCCCTTGTGTTGGTGTGCATACTACAGTAAACATCTGTTCTGTCAGAAAACCCTCGCAAACAGCAGGCTAGTGCTGACAGACTTTATTTTATACACTATAAAAATACTCATGGAGGCTAATGCTGCATTACCTGAGCTGAGGGAGGATGCATTGGAAGTGTGCTGGAGGGAGGTGTGTCTGTAAAGCTGACCCAACTTTCCTGGACTGGAGGAGGTGAATGAGCCGACCACATCCCGTCACCTGGAACTGGTCCTGAGGGAAGACAGGAAAAGAAAAAGAGAAGGGTAAAATATTTTAAAAAGGATAAATATAATAGATATTTAGCAAAAATCTAATAAACGATGTTATATTACATCATTGTCACATAACATACCACAATGTACCATAAAATAACATAAGGTAATGAGACGTAACATAACATAACACAACGTAACATAAGGTAACCCAAAGTAACATAAGGTAACGCATCATAACATATGGTAACGCAACATAACATAAGGTAATGCACCGTAACATATGGTAACGCAACATAGCATAAGGTAACGCACCGTAATAATAGGTAACGCACCGTGACATAAGGTAATCCAACGCAACACATGGGAACGTAGTGGTAAAAAAAACATACCATAACGTACCATAGGATAACATAACACAAGGTAACAAGGTAATGTGACGTAACAAAGAAAACGCAACATAACATAATGCAACGTATCATGACAAAACATAACACAACGTAACGCATCAAAACACAAGGTAAGGTAACATAACAAAGTATCGCACCGTAACATAAGGTAACCCAACGCAACACAAGGCAATATAATTGTCACATAACATATCATAACGTACCATAAGATAACATAACACAATGTAGCAGTGTAATGCAATGTAACGTAACGCAATGTAACATTAAATAATGCTACGTAACGTAAAGTAACGCAACATAAAATAAGATAACACAACGCCACATAAGGTAACCGAACGTAACATTAGGAACCACAACATGACAATACACGATGTAACGCAACATAATAACATCTTGTAACATAACGTAACGCATCATGACAAAATGTTAATTAAATGCACTAATTTAGTTAATTATAGCAAAATACACATTTATTATATATAACATTAATATTTTTCATAATAATGCCCATACTCTAATCTGCTTAATACATTGCACATTTCATACAGATGATTGGTTACAAACATCATGCCGGACAATTTACTGCCTAGAGAATACTTATGGGTTGCTAAAATTCAATATATGGGGCAAAAATTCCTCAATGAATGAACTGAAAGAATGCACTTGTTTGAACTAATCTTCAAAATATTTGTGTGTATTAAATTAAATGCGGATTTAAAACATTTTTTTCAAAAGCTTCTTTATTAGTGGCCACTTGATGCTTTTTGTATTTAAGACACAAATGATTTGCAACTTTTTAGGGGGTAATTTATGCAGAATTTTGCAACTACATATTGCTATTGACTGGCATTCCTAAATATAATTAAATATGATATACTTATATATGACATGATATGATAAAGCTATTTCAGTAAGAAAACTTTTTTTGTTACTTAAATATCTATCATTAACCAACGAGTACCTGGCTGTGCTTCTCTAAAATGTGGCCAAACAACTCCTGGCACAGAGGGCTGCCTGTCCACGTTTCCACCACTGGCCTGTCGCTTGTGCTTCCTCCAGGCAAGGGGTGAAGTCGGAGGGGACTGGTGTGGAGACACTACAGGAGATGTGGTGTCCGGCTGGAGTCAGAGAAAACTAAATTATTACTTAGTAACACCTACAACCAACAGATGCATTGGAAAAGCAGAACTAGTCGTCAGTTAAAAGATCCAGACAGTACACTTTATACAGACTCTTTAGAGCAAGTTGGAGTGAACGCTCCTTTCATTAGAATCTATTGTTTCTCAGAAAAAACAAAAAATTACCTACAGCATGAAATATAGAAAAACAAAACACACTAAATGCCATTCATTCATTTTCTTTTTGATTAAGTTTCTTTATTAATCTGGGGTCGCCACAGCGGAATGAACCGCCAACTTATCCAGCATACGTTTTACACAGCGGATGCCCTTCCAGCTGCAACCCATCATTGGGAAATAAATGCCATTCAGATCTGTGATCATTTATTCTTTCATGGTTTTTAATAAGCACAGGGGTCCGTTCTTCGTACCTCTCTAAAATTATCCAAAATAATTTGGCAAATCCTGGATCTTTTAATCTTGATAACTGATCTCTGCCTAAGTTGGTTCTTCAAACAAGTTTGTGAATCAAATTAAGATGTCTGGATAAACTGATCTAAGATTGCTGCGTGTGTTGTGAAGTACATATCTATTGATAAGTTTTATTTATATATTTTTTAAACTTACATATTGTTTTAAATATTTATTTTCCCAAGTGTATATAACTACTATTGTAAGAAAATATCAGAATTCAGTACAAACTTTTAGTGTTAACTTTGCTTTAAATGACCAGATCTATTCCTGTTTATATAAAATAAGCCTGCTCCCGAGCAGGTTTGAGCTACCATAACTGTTTCTATGACAACAACTCTAAATTTTGAAGAACGAAATGATCCTGGATCACGTTGAAAGGTCAATAACCAAATCCAACTAATTAAGTAATCCACATACGAAGAACGGACCGCAGGTCAGGATAACAAAGTTGTTGTTGTTATTTTGCTTTTTTTTTTAACAAATTGATATATAATTGCTTATATTTTATATTACTATTGTAATATAGTTCTATACATGTATATATATTTATATATATTAAATAATAATTATAAATAATAATTATAAATAATTATTTTAAGTTTCAATGTCCAGAAATCACAATTGGAAACAAAATGAACCAAGGATTGAACCAAGACTAAAATTTTCATTTAATAATTTATAGAAGCTATCATTCAAATTATTTTAGTGTAAAGCTGCACAATTAAACATTAAAAGATTATGATCACAATTTAAACTGTCACAACATAAATGATAAATTATAATGATTTGCATATGTAAATCAATTCTTCTAAACACTGCATCAAATCTGCATTAGATAAAAAGAGATTCAGTTTTTACACTTTTTCAGTTTGTTACAATTAAATAACACAGAAGTACTGGAATAACAGTTTATTTTTTAGATACAAACATTGATGTTTAAGCGAAAAATTAAAATGAAAGTTTATTGGAACTTGACCCTGGCGAATGTTGTAGCAATTACACTAAGTAACCAATGGGTGGCGACAAACAATCATCAAAATTATGTCACTGAATAGGTTTTCAAAATTGATAGGTCTATAATGAAACATGAAGTTTTATGTGTGAATTGTTGAATCATCATTTTAAGATAAATATGATGTTGTACAATATGTTAGATTTCTATATTTAGCACTATCAGCAATAGTAGCCAAGATCATTTTTCGTATTGAATATTTCCTTTTTTTCAGCTAGTTCTTTATTGATTTTTGTTTTTAATAAAATTACAGGTTATAAGTTCTGTTTGTTAAAACAATGCTTTTTGCAGTAATATTTCAGTATAAAAGCAAATGACATTTATCTCCTTACTTTTTTTCTGATGTGAAAAATGGTTCGACCCGTGACTCAAAAACCATGGTATGATCCAAACCAGGAAAACTTTGATACGTTACACCACTAATTTAACTGGAATAAATTCATCTATAGGCCAAAATATGCATAAAGATCAAAAACACGTATTTATAGACATGACATGTGGCTTATAAAGTCTAAGGCTAAGTCCTAATTAAGTATTTTTTCCAAATAATTATTTAGGTGAACAAACAATAATGAACAATAAATCAATTAAAGAGAGTTTACCCAAAATTTGGGGGAAAATTCCAGGTTAAAATCACCCACAGTTCATCGAAGATGAAAATGACTTTTTTATTCAGCAGAACATTAAAGAAGCTTTTGAGCTGAATCCATGGTCCTCGTTGATTCATATACAGGCATTGAATACATTTTTTTGGTTAAAATAAACACAGAGGCTTCACAGTGGCGCAGTCTGTAGCACGACTGCCTCCAGCAGGAAGGTCACTGGTTTGAGCCTTGGCTGGGTCAGTTGCCATTTCTGTGTGGAGTTTGCATGTACATCCCGTGTTCACATGGGTTTCCTCTGGGCGCTTCGGTTGCCCACACAGTCCAAAGACATGTGGTATAGGTGAATTGAGTAAGCTAAATTGTACGGAGTGTATGTGTGTGAATGAGTGTGTATGGATGTTTCCCAGGGATGGGTTTCAGCTGGAAGGGCATCCACTGCGTAAAACATATGCTGGATAAGTTGGTGGTTCATTCCGTTGTAGCGACCCCAGATTAAAAAAGGGACTAAGCCGAAAATTAAATGAATGAATGAATGAACACACAGAAACAAATCCAAATCAATAGCAAAGGCTCATGAAGAGGTCCTACTGAGGTCTTGTGAAGTGAAATGATCAGTCCATGTAAAAAATGACCAGGGATTTAGCTCAAAATATTCTTCAATGTTCTACTGCAAAAAAGTCACCTACATCTTGAATGATCTGAGGTTGCGTAACTTAACATGAAATGTTCATTTTTGTGTGAACTATCACTTTCCTTTAGTGCAAAAACTGACCTTCTTTCTGTTTTGTCGATACTTTTGTTCAATTGGAATTTACAATATGATAGATAGTGGCTGATATAGCTGGTTAAATCTAAACACAACACAACAGTTACATTACATATTCTCAGGATGAAGTACCTGAGGATCAGCAGTGGGCACACAGGGCTGAATCATCTCGTGCGCTGACACTTTTTTGGCTTGCACTCGGCCCGGAGGTCTGGGGAGGAAGGGCCCCTGATTCTCTGCGTCTGTGAACATTACCATGTGCCTCGTCTCCTGCTCGTTCTTGCCCATCACAAAGCGAGGAAGGGGTAGATCCCTGACTGCAAACACAACACACATCAGACATATATAAATACGTGTGTGTGTGTGTGTGTGTGTGTGTATATATATATATACATACATACATACATATATATATATATATATATATAAATATATATATATATTGATTTATTTATGTATTTATTTATTTATTACTTTCTTTTCAGCTGCTTGTGAAATTAAATTATTAAAAAGAGTTTACTGATATGACAGATATATTTTTAAGTTGTCTTCTTAAAAGTTTTCTGTATCAACAATGTTTAATTTTGCCTTGCAAATGTATTCAAATCCATTATATTTCTGATAATGAAATCACTTCATCTTCAACAGTGCTGACTCCCGCATAAGAAATGAATCAAACTGACCCTCCCATGTTTTGTGTTGCTGGCTGTTTGCTGTCCGTGTCATACATTTTACCCAGAGCTAATCTAAAATCCCTGATTAACTGATTATTTTTTTATTATAATGGACATAAAGGAATATATTCTGAAGAATGCTTAAAAAAACAGCCATTGTCGTCAATAGATTTTTGTTGTTGTTAATACTATGGATGTTAATGGTTGCTTACATTCTTCAGAATATTTTTTGTGTTCATCAAGAGAAAGAAATTCAAGAGGAAATGGTGAGAAAAAAAACAATCATCATCAACCAATCATTACATGATCATGTAGATTGCTTGCTTAAGCATAATTGTGTTACGAACATTCATGTAAAAGATATACTGAATTAAACAACTTCAAAATCAATGAGACAGAAATCTACAAAAAACCAAGTTGATCCCAAATATATCTAAACTTCAGGTCACTGACAGTAATTTCCTTGCAGTATCTTCAAGGCTATGGGTTTTATTCCTACTTATTCATACCTCAGTCGATTTTTCATGCTTTTATAAAGCTTTCTGTGTAACTTTTCCAAAATTCATGCAGAGCTAAACAGTGCTATATGTCAGACAGTAGTTATATACAGAGAGAGAGAGAGAGAAAGAGAGAGAGACAAGCCGTGACAGACAACACACAAACAGAAGCATTTGCATTTGGCTTAAAGGCACAAACAACAAGCAATTCACAGAAACAACCAAATGTAAGAGAGAAAGGAAGAATTTACTTTGATTTCAACGTACTATAGCAAGATTTGAACCTAAAAGTCAGCTCTTGTAGTTCACGATAAACACATTTAGCCCTTTTCATCAAAGAGCCAGTAAGATTATCCTAATTCTTGTTATGTAATGTGCTGCAACTGTCACAATGGATTCATTTGTAAAAATGAGTGTGTGCAAAATGACACTGATGTGATAAGTTCAAATGAAAAGAACATTCTGTTTTGCTGAAGAAACAGTTATTAGGTTTTTAAGAAGCTAATGCTACCCACCAGTGTTCAGGCTCTCGAGGCGCAGGGGCAGTCCAGACTGGGCCAGTGCAATGAGCTTCAGTGCAATGTAGAACTGACTCCGGCCAAAATGGCCCAGACGTGTGGCCCCGCAAAGCTCAGTAATCTAAGATAAATGGAAACAGAACTGTCAATCAGATAAACTGACATTGAGTGGACTGTTTAAACCTGTATGAGGATACAAATAAACAGTCTGAAGAGTGTTGGTAACTAGTTGAGATCTGCTCTTGACTACATATTACACAAATTATATATTGACATAGTAGAAAAAAAACACTATCAATTTAATGTCTATAGTCAACTGTCCAGACAGCAACACTGTTCAAAATATCTTATTTTTGAGGACATTGATATATGTTTGGAAAAACTTAGGGAAGACAAAATAATGAAATGTATATTTTTGTATATTAACCCTAAATATTAAATCAAATAATGGTAAGGCTTAGGGCTGCACAATTTATTGTTTCACGATGGATATCGCAATGTGATTATTGAGAATATACGCAATGTTGAGTCTGGAAAATAATTAACCATCTACATGTGTGTTTTTTTTAGGCCTGTGACTGTATGTTGATTTATTTAGTATTTATAGGCATAATAAATTGTGGATAATTCAAATTATTTATACAACAAAAACTACACAACGTAATTTTACATATTTGATTATTCAAATGCTGTATAATTGAATACTGTGAATAATAAAACACTGTTTATTTCAATAGCATCTTTTTCCTTATTGTATTTATGTAAGCTTTAGATTGATTAATATATTTTATGCCCTACAAAAAACTCCCAATCCAACTAATATTATAATTTTTTTTCCAAATAAAAAGATTTAAGTCATCTGGTGTCATTGGAATCTTATTGCAATATATATACAGAACATCGCAATGTTAGATTTTTCAAATACCGTGCAGCCCTAGTAAGAGTTATAAATATGTTTATTTCTGGACGAATTACCCTCATTTATCTACCATATCTACAAAGCAAAGGTGTACATACAATAACATAAACTAAAAATAATATTAAACACAAATAAATGCACAATGAAAAAATACTGCATAAAGCACTAAGGTGGCATTAAACTGAAATGATACTGAGCACAGGAAGACAAAATCTGTAATCTCAACTACTTTAAGAAACAAAAAGTTAAAACAACAAAAGCACAATCTAACTGAACCATCTATAGGGCTGTACGATATTGGAAAAATCTGACATTAACATATTTTGTTTTGCTGCAATTTATATTGTGATGTGAATATTACTTCATCAGATGATCTGGATAGCTCTATTTGGAAAGATTTCATTCATTTAGATTGGCTGGGTGTAAATAAAGAGTGCTTTATGGTTTTCTGGAAAGTCTAATGGTAATCAAGTACAAAAAGTGAACAAACAAACATAAAATAGCATGGTCATTGCATAAATAATTTTTAAATTAATAACATCTTTATCTTTTACTCTTCAATAAATCATGCAATCCTAATAAATATCCTAATAATTTACAAGCATATACAAACGCGACAGATCAAAAATAAAAGTGAAATAAACAGTTATTTAGGGTTTTGTGGGGAGTTCATACATAAATTAGAAAAATCAAATGTAAAATAACTTGGTCATCATTGCATAAATAATAAAAACATATGTATCTTTATCTTTTACTCTTTATATATTGTTGTATTTTAAATTATATATTGTTCAACCCTGATTAAAAGGTATAAAAACACAACATTTAATGTAGCATTTAATAAACAAATAAAATATGTGAGAAAGGGGTCTATGCCATCTATCGGCTGCCTGTAAAACAATACCAGAGAAAATGGCAAATATAATGGCAGCATGAAATACAAACCAACTTTAAAAGGAAAAAAAGACAGAATTTTTAAATCAAGTTGGCACACTGAGCAAAATTCCAAAATACTTAATCAACACAATCATGCAAGATTAAACCACAGGACAAAAACATTGTTTGTATTTCACTTATCTTCAACCAAATGCCCTTGATGACCCCTGTCAATTACTTTAGAATTGCTGATCAATAAATCCGTTGCTCAGACACAATAAACAAAACAACTTTTCAAGAAACTTTGGACACTGATTTAGAAGCAACTTTCTTATGCCGACTAGAGCAACAGTGTTCATCATCAGCACCCTTCAGTGCTGAAACAAAATACCTCTCTATGGCACATCAAGAATAATCAAGAATAAAAAGAAGCTTTACAGTATTAAACCTTCAGAGAAGAATGTGGACAACAATCTAATGAACTGCTGTAATCTGCATTAATATGATTGATTTCTCAAACACACTCCTGGCTCAAAATGAAGCGGCGGTGGCATTCCGATCATGACAATTTTCCTATTGAGGTAAAGTTGGTTTTATATTTGCACATTCTTTCAGTGACAATTTCTGAAACGCTCCCTATATTGTTTACTATGGTACTTTGAATTTTCGGTCAGAAATCGATTGTACGCATGACTTCAAAACAACATTAGCAGTATTTATTTGACAGTAAACAATATTGTACTTTGATAGACAATAGCTGTTTCCATCCAAAAATGCGAATGAACTTTATGCGCAAAACTGGATTATCGCATAAAAGACATGTGAATAAAGCAGCTTTCCATCCAACGAGTCAAAGCGAACAAAATCGTCACTTCCTGATTAACTGGCGCCAAATATCAACAGTAAAAACTGAATTTGCTGCAGTAGGAGAAGCTGCATCAATCTTTTCTTTATAATCACTTGTGCCTCAGAAAGCAGTCCTGACATGCAGTGAACGCGCGGTGGCGTTTGAAGGTGTCAGACGCAGAGCACACACACTCTAGATTCTGGAGGTCATTTATATTATAATTACACTAATACTTAAACGGTAAGGCGTTTTATAATAACCAAAACAACATTTCAAATGTTTTACAGTGTGCTCAGCCTGACGGTTTGTCCATTTACACACATTTTTATCAACACACATCTCTTTTAACAAAATCACATGACCTTTTGTTAATGCGCATGCTGGAGTTTGTGCGGTAAAAGTGTTTCCATCACAGTTTATGCGCATCTTTTCTTATCGAATAAAAAGTTTATCCTACTCAGTTATGCGCATATGTTTTTTATGTGCATTTTAAAATTTTATGCGCATCATGGAGTTTCAAACAACAGTTTTTTATGCGCATATTCAAAATGCGCATAAAAATAGGTGGATGGGAACATAGCTATTGGCTGCTAATATGACTTCAATATTTATTTGCAAAGAATACTTTTCCAAAATTATAAAATTATTTTAAGGAGAAAGTTTGAATGTGCGAAAATAAAACCAAATCTACCTCAATTTTTGCTATTAGGAAAAAAACACATTTTTCAGGATTCTTATAATCTTATTAAGTAAAACATTATCTTATTTTAAAAAGTATAACGTTAAATGTGATTACATGCATGACCAGTGCTTGAGCATCCCTTGGGGACTGTTGTTATTCAGTTATTCATATTGTAATAATGTGAATGTGGACGTCTCGGATATTATGGTCACTTCAAAATACTGTGAATAACTATTTATTATTTAAACGTTTAAAGTGCCTTTTATTAAAATTCAGGTTGTTGTATTTGTGGTTGTTTTTTACAGTACCAAATGACATTCATTCATTCATTCATTTTCTTGCCGGCTTAGTCCCTTTATTAATCTGGGGTCGCCACAGCGGAATGAACCACCAACTTATCCAGCAAGTTTTTACGCCATTGAAAATTCTGTGTGTATTCATAGGTTTTATGTTCGTAAACTCTGTAAAGTAAGGTTACACATCATTTAATTCAACTAGTCAGTGTAATGACGACTAAAGGAAGCATTTAAAAACATTGGATGATGTTCATTTCAAAGGTAGTGACTATACATTAAAATCGAAAGTTCATGTTCATAAATGGTTTTTAACGATTCAGTTGTATTTTAAAACAAATAGTTTATTTTAACACATAACTATGGTATGGTTATTTCTTACAGTTGATTTGAATGTATTAACTGATGTTAACTAATAAGACTTCATTGGAAAGAGCACTATCATTCTTTTGCAATTGAATTGGATGGAAACCTTTGTTTACTCTGACAGGGTTCACAGGTTTCATCAAGTCAAATATAAAACGTTTTATTCAATTCAATTTATCTTTATTTCTATAGTGTTTTTACAATGTAGATTGTGCCAAAGCAGCTTAACATAGAAGTTCTAGCGGATTGAAATTGAAACCGTGTCAGTCCAGTTCACTTTAGGTTCAGACCATTATGAGACCATTATGAATGAAATTTCAGACTTACAAGAAAATACAGTTTACAAGACTAAACGCTAAGGATTGTTTTCTAAGGGCCCAGTTAAAACATAAAAATAAATGTTATTGTAGGAAGATAATTAAAACATATGTTATTAAATAGAAATAGAGTTGGTAAACCGAGTTAACAAATAAGAGTTATTAAATAAAATTTTGTAAAAACTTTTATTAAGATGAAACGTTAGTGATTTGAATGTGTTGGTACGATTGTGTAGCTTTACATGGACATAGGAAAAACCTGTTTAAAAAGATTTAAGACACAATATTTCAGTGAATTTAGGATACTTTAAAGCATAAAACTTTCATTTTGAAATTTAAGACATTAAAACTTTTTAGGACCCTGCATGCACATCCCCTGTCTGAACATAGAAAATACTTAAAAGTACTAGACATGAGCCGGTGCAAGATTCTGACGGTATGATAACCTTGGATAAAAATATCCTGGTTTAACGGTATTGTGATTACAGCTGTAAAATATGTTCCTTTGAAAAGTCTGGGTAAAAAAACTAAAACTTTTAACCTTTGAAAACAATATATTTTACTTTGAGAAACATTTAAAATATTTTGGAACAGTAAACGTGTATTACAGAAAATTTGTGTTTTTAAAACCCTGACCTTTCCAAGCTGCGGTATACCTTGAAAACGATTATCATCCCATGCCTACAAAGCATTTTTAGTTATTACACCCTATAAAATAGATTAGTGTTTAATCATTACAATAAAACACAGACAGAAGTCTAATTAAAATTTTAAATATGTTTTTATTTATTTATGGTTTGTTTTAAGAACCATCAACCATGAAAAGAAGCTTGACTGTTGTAACCCATCATATAAAATGGTCAATGTCTGTTACTTGAATCAACAAGTCTGAGTGAGGTCTGCACATCATATGCACAACACCACCACACATTATTGCTTGATTGCTTTGATACACATTTCTAAAGTCATTGAGCATGTACACATTTCATGACAAAAGCAGAAAATGACTATTTATGCTTCTATTCAAAAGGAAGCAGGCACAACTAATAAATCTACAGCCTTGCACAACAGGAAGCAAAGTTTAACCCTACTGATGCATCATCACCCTTCTTCACCCGTGCAACTCAGCAACAATCAGACTGATTCATCAACCGGTCTAAACACTCTTCTTGACATCGCCCATAATAATCCACCAGAGTTCCTGGCATTTCTGAACTGATCAGCTCAAGCTATCATTTCAACTTGTTTATGTGTACAAACACACACATGCATACACACATACATACATAGATCTGCTGACTAATGCACAAGTTATATGCTTGAATGAGATGCAATGAACACACACTAGTAACGTTACCTGAAGGACCACTTCGTTTGAGAGCTGGGCCGCCCGGAAGAGCTCCAGAACTTTGCCATTGGAAGCCACTTTTTTGGCGTTGTCCACATCGCAGGAGAGGAAGAGTTCAGAGTAATATTTCTGCTCGACATCGCTCAGTGTTAAACTCTCCATCGTGGCATCAAACCCGCAGCTGGTGGCTGGTTTTCTTCGCCTTATCGGGCCAGTGTCGAGCCTTGCGGTGGACGAGCAAGACGAGAAACTAGCAAAACACAAACGAGCTCCTTCCGTGAAACGGACGGACTCGAAAGAGGATGTTTCGGGGTGCTTTGTTGTTGTTTTTATGTACCGTTAGTCGCTGTCTTTGCTGTTGTCTTTTGGCCCTCGCAAAGTCAACCAAACTAATAGGGGCTTGAACGTCGGAATTCGGCGGTAACGGCGTCGAGAGCGGGTTCCGCCGTCGCGCGGGCTCTTTAGAAGGCGGGTACGGCCGTCGGCGGGGCGGTGGAGCTCGTGAGGCCGCTGGGTGATGTTAGGAAGAAAGTTTCGGGCTCTTTGGGCTGCTTCCCTCTGCAGACAGCGCCGCCATTCCTGGACCCCGTGACGTCATGGCCGAGGCGCGGAGGACCCGGATGAAGTGTGGCGTCACAGATGTGCCGTCAGCGACTGTTTATCAAATCTGCTTTTTCATATGTAAAAGCCTGTAAAGTGCTTTGAAATAGTTAATTTTGTTCAATGAATGTTGTTAATGTGTTGGTAATAATACAAAATACGAAGTCTGATATTTTATTTTTATCGAATTAGCTATTTAATTTGACTAATTGTTATTATTAAATTAGATTGCAACAAAATGTTCATGAAGATATGCACCTGTATAAATGTGGTTTGTTTAACCCTAAAACTGACAACATATCCTGCGAGATCCAATTGATAAAATCCTAAATAAATTAAATAGCCTATTTAAAAATGATTATGTTATTATTAATATTATTATTAATAATATTTAGGTTTTCATTTTCCACTCCTATTTAAAAATGTATTTTGAATGTGCTTTATACTTAGGTTCAAATTACCTTAAAATTCCATGAAATTATTATAATTATCATTATTATTATTTTGCTTTTCATTTTCCACTCCAATTTAAGGGTGAATGAAAATAAAAAGGCGTGGGATAAACACAATTTCTTTTAAACCATACTTACGAATAAGATAATATATACCTATACTGCACCCTGTATCATATTTTATGCTTTTCATGCCTTATGCATTTTATATATCTGTATCTGCATATATAATAGGTTTGCTTGAAAATAGAAAAAAAATATTTGAAAAGTTTTAGGGCTATTGGTTAAATATATTATTTACTTTATACTGTTATATGTAGGTTCATTCATTAATTTTCCTTCATCTTAGTCCTTTTACTCATCAGGGGTCGCCACAGCGGAATGAACCGTCAACTTATCCACCATATGTTTTACGCAGCGGATGCCCTTCCAACTGCAACCTATCACTGGGAAACGCCCATACACTCTCACATTCACACACATACACTCTGCACAATTTAGATTACAATAAAAATTAATATTATTATTTTGCTTTTCATCTTCCACTCTTATTTAAGGGTTAGTGAAAAGAAATACAAATACTTTTAAACCATATAACTTACGAATAAGATTATAAAGGCTTTTACTGCACCCTACATATTTTCATGCCTTTTGCCTTTTATATGCAAGTGTGTGTGTGTGTGTGTGTGTGTGTGTGTGTGTTTTGCATGACACAAACAGGCCTACTTTATATACAATTTAAGAACTGACCCACAACAAGTCAGTTTAGGCACCATTGAAACTTTTGGTGGTTTAGACTCTTAAACTTTGCAATGATCTTTCTATTTTATTTTTTATTTTTTATAATCTGTAGCTGCATACAAAATAGCAGGGTTTCTGCAGGTTTCACCAAGTTAATTTTAAAAGTTTTTAAGAAATTCATAAAATTATTATGAATGAAAATTTAGACTCATACAGGGCTAAACGCTAAGGAGTTTTTTTGATTGGCCCAGATGTAATGCCCTATCAAAAAAAAAAAAAAAAAAAAAAAAAAAATATATATATATATATATATATATATATATATATATATATATATATATATACACACACATATACATATATAATTCAATACATTTAATAATACAATATTTTTTTAATAATAAAAGTTTTAAATATTGTGTCAAAACAAGCAATCTCTAGTTGTAACACACTTTTTCAACATAAATTTACTTCAAAATTAAACAAAATAACAAATGTTTTAAAAACTGGGGCTGCACGGTGGTGCAGTGGGTAGCACAATCACCTCACAGCAAGAAGGTCGCTAATTCAAGCCCCTACTGAGTCAGCCAGCGTTTCTGTGTGGAGTTTGCATGTTTTCCCTGTGTTTGCGTGGGTTTCCTCCGGGTGCTCCAGTTTTCCCCCACAGCCTAAAGACATGTGGTTTAGGTGAATTGGGTAAGCTAAATTGTCCGTAGTGTATGTGTGTGAATGAAAGTGTATCGGTGTTTCCCAATGATTAATTGCAGGTGGAAGGGCATCCGCTGCGTAAAACATATGCTGGATAAATTGGAGGTTCATTCCAATATGATGTCCCCAGATTAACAAAGGAGCTAAGTTGAAAAGAAAATGAATGAATGAATGTTTTAAATAAAATAAACATGCATATATATATATATATATATATATATATATATATATATATATACATATATATATATATATATATATATATATATATATATATATATATATATATATATATATATATATATAAAGGAAATTATATATAAAGGACATTTTCACAGTATGTCTGATAATATTTTTTCTTCTGGAGAAATTTTTATTTGTTTTATTTCAGCTAAAAAGTTTTTAATAAAAAAAAAATATTTTAAGATCAAAATTATTAGCCCCTTTAAGCTCTATTTTTTTGATAATCTACAGAACAAACCATCGTTATATAATAACTTGAAATACTAAATACTCTAACCTGCCTAGTTAACCTAATTAACCTAGTTAAGCCTTTTAATGTCACTTTAAGCTGTATAGAAGTGTCTTGAAAAATATCTAGTCAAATATTATTTACTGTACTGTCATAATGGATAAAATATATAAGTTATTAGTTAATAAATTGTTTATTACAACTATTACATTTAGAAATGTTGAAAAAAATCTTCTCTCAGTTAAACAGAAATTTGGGGAAAAAATAAACAGGGGGTCTGATAATTCAGACCTCAACTGTATATATACTGTATGTATGTAGGTTATAACATTTAATACTTAATGCATATATTGTGAAGTCTATAAAATATAAAACTAGGCCTATTTGAAGTATTTTAACTTTATATAGACCTACTGTATGTACTGTACACATGAATCAGGAGCTAAATGTATCTTATTTATTCATGTATTTGTATTTTTACAGATATAAGATACAGTTTGCAATAGCTATATAGACCTTATTGCTGAGCCACTAAAAACTGATATATTAAACTCTCCGTTATTCATGCTGTTTCTTTCTACTGAATATGAAGAACTGCTCAGTCAGCAGCATCCTACGCCTGTCGCGCAGTGGGCGGAGCTATCAAAATAAATGGCGGGGTTAATAATACTGTAGGAGGACTAAGTAATGGTGTGAGATCGTAGTGGGAGGGACTAGCGTTATGGTAGGAGGAGCTGAAGCGAAAATGGTAAGGGTTAATGGATGTTTGGGTTGTTTACAGTGGGCGGAGTTAGCGGTGTGATGGGAGGATTCAGTGTCATGATGGCCCTGATGCTCGCAGTGAGGGAATCCGATCTAATACGTGTCCACATATAATAACTCCTCTTTTCCTGCACAGACTCATTATATGCGTTCAAGTAGAGCGTCACTGGATCTCAGTTTGCCATGGAATGGATTACTTTAATTCTGACGGTGTCTGTGGTGATTATTTCGTTTCATCTTCTCTTTGGTAAAAGTCACCCCAATGCTCCACCATGTATAAGAGGTTGGATACCCTGGTTTGGGGCTGCTTTTGAATTTGGCAAAGCACCTTTGCATTTCATCCAGCAAGCCAGAGCCAAAGTAAGTTTGCAAACTTGAGATATTACTTGCATGACGAATCAAAACTGTACTTATTGGGTTATGCATGTCAGATTTGAATACGATTTTCCATTTGTTTTGCACATTTTAATACGTTTGATATTAGTTAAAAGTGAAAATAACGAGCATGTAGAATCAAAACTGTATTTATATGATTTGTATATGCATATGTATTTTTGCTTATCAGATTTGCATAATATTTTCCATTTATTTTGCAAATTTTCATAAATTTGTTATTATTTAAAAGTGAAAATAACCTGCATGTGGAATCAAAACTGTACTTATATGATTTGCATATGCATATGTACTTTTGCATATCAGATTTGCATAAGATTTTCCATTCATTTTGAACATTTTTATAAATTTGTTACTAGTTAAAAGTGAAATTAACCTACATATATTTTAATGAATATCTAAAAATGCAGACTAATTAAAAAGGTACCAGACAGTTTGTAGCATAAAACATGCAGGGTCTGCCAATGAGTCCAGAAGTCCAGCTCCTCCCCTACAAATTCTGATGAACCTGTTGCTCTCACCTACTGTATAAAAATATAAAAGCGCTTATTAATAGTTTGATTTCTAGAGCAGTATTTTTAAGAGTAACAGATTGATGTTTTTTTTTTTACTTAAATAAAGCTGCAGATTATGAATATTAATAAACGATAAATATAAAAACTTATTTCAAGCTGCTTATTGAAGAAGGAATTGCTTAATTTTTACATATTGCATAATAATTGCAATGGCAATATGGTATTCCTCCTAATATTAAAAAAAAAATAAATAAATGTATGCCATTATACTTTCAATACTTTCATCACCAACCACAAAACCATTACCCAGACAATCAGCTAAAGCCCCGTGGTCAATATTGACGTGTTTTGTTTTTGTGCTGTGTCACACTAACCGAGTTTGTCTTCACCTCTTCACCGTTAATTTATGCAACTAGGACAACTGCTGCACACACAGGCCCTTTTTGACACAATTTCTGTTCTGGGCACAGTCCTGTGAAAGCATGGTAACTAACAATCAGTTTGCTCCAAAATACGCTAATTGCATCTGCCAAGGAAAGAAATCACACAAGAGAGTGCTTTTAAAGTTCACCATGGGGTAGATAAACAAATAGCCTGTTTTTGAACTGCATGTTTTTTGTACATCATTTGCATTTTAGGTAACATTCGGTCATTTGGGTATGAGAGGAGTAATACATTTTAAAGGACGTAGAATGAAAAATCTGTCATCATTTACTTAGTTACTTGATAATTAGTTAAAGTTATGGTAAGGGTGAGTAAAAGTAAAATAGTAAAAGCTATTACATACACTCACCGGCCACTTTATTAGGTACATTATGTCCAACTGCTCGTTAATGCAAATTTTAATTAATTCAAATTTCAAAATGCATTTAGGCAAGTAGACATGGTCAAGACAATCTGCCGCAGTTCAAACCGAGCATCAGAATGGGAAAGAAAGATGATTTAAGTGACTTTGAACGTGGCATGGTTGTTAATGCCAGATTGGCTGGTCTGAGTATTTCAGAAACTGCTGATCTACTGGGATTTTCATGCACAACAATCTCTAGGGTTTACAGAGAATGGTCAGAAAAAAAGAAATTATCCAGTCAGCGGCAGTTCTGTGGATGCAAATGCCTTGTTGATGCCAGAGGTTAGAGGAGAATGGCCAGACTGGTTCCAAACAACAGGAACTCAAATAACCACTCGTTACAACCGAGATATGCAAAAGATTTCTGAATGCACAACACATCCAACCTTGAGGCAGATGGGCTACAGCAACAGAAGACCTCACTGAGTGCCAGTCCTTTCAGCTAAGTACAGAAAACTAAGATTACAATTCGCACAAGCTCACCAAAATTGGACAATAGAAAAATGGAAAAACACTGCCTGGTCTGATGAGTCTGGATTTCTGCTATGACATTTGGATGGTTGGGTGTCATTTGGCCCCAAATTGCCATTTACCAGCATCAACAACATGAAAACATGGGTCCATCCTGCCTCATTTCAACAGTTCAGGCTGGTGATGGTGGTGTAATGGTGTGGAGATATTTTCTTGGCACACTTTGGGCTCATTAGTACCAATTAAGCAACGTGTCAACGCCACAGCCTACCTGAGTATTGTTGCTGCCCATTGTCCATCACTTTATGACCACAGTTTATTCATCATCTGATGGCTTTTTTCAGCAGAATAATGGACCATGTCATAAAGCGCGAATCATCTCAGACTGGTTTCATGAACATGACAATGAGTTCACTGCTCTTAAATGGCCTCCATAGTCACAAGATCTCAATCTAATAGAGCACCTCTGGTATTTTGTGGAATGGGATATTCGCCTCATGGATGTGCAGCCAACAAATCTGCAGCAACTGCATGATGCCATCATGTCAATATAAACCAAAATCTCTGAGGAATATTTCTAGTACCTTATTGAATCTATGCCACGAAGGATTAAGGCAGTTCTCAAGCCAAAGAGGGTCCAACCAGGTACTAGTAAGGTGTACCTAAAAAAGTGGCCAGTGAGTGTATAAACAGTTACCCTGCAGTTATATATCATTAATAAGTGATTTCCTACTATAAAAGCTGATGGTAGCAACCAACATTCTTTAAAATATCTTATTTTGTTTTCAACAGAAGAAAGAAGGCTTAAACAACATAAGGGCGAGTAAACTATCAGATAATTAAAGTTTTTGGGTGAACTAACCCTGTAAAGTATAAAATAACAGTGTGTTTTTTTCCTCCAGTATGGTCCAGTTTTCACAGTGGTGGCTGCTGGGAAGAGAATGACATTTGTGACCCTAAATGAGGACTTCCGAGTTTTCTTCACCTCCAAAGATGTTGATTTTGAACAAGCAGTGCAAGAACCCGTTCACAACACAGGTATCAGTCTTTGCCATTATAATTGACTGCTAAAGCTGTTTAATCTACACAATTAGTCTCTTAAACGTGACCTTAGACTCTGAACTCAGCGCATGATTTATTACCGTGTCCTTGACCGGCTTATTTTCAATGCTGAAGCGTCATCAATACTGTAGTCTCCGACTAATGTGACTCGTGTTAACCTTGTTTGGCTTCCTGTCCAGCTTCTATCAGCAAAGACAACTTCTTTGAGTCCCATCCGACCTGTTCGGCTATAATCAAAGGCAGACTGACTCCGGGCAACACGGCGATGCTCTCTCCTCATCTCTGTGAAGAATTTAATGACCATTTGGAGAGCCTTGGAAGCGAAGGATCTGGACAGCTAAATGAGCTCATCAAGTATAGTCTTCTCACATCAATTATTTACATTGGGCTAAAGTTTCCCTTAGAGAACAGTAGGCCTAACACACTGCGCTTAATAATGTACATTTATATTATGGAGCATTATCAATTACTTACAAATTCACTCTTAGAATAAAAGTAAAATGTTCCAAATAGTTTTTATTGTAATGATATAGAAGAATCTAAATATAATTGGTCACAATCTTTTGAAAATCTTATAAACCTTTTTACACTGTAAATAATTTGCCAAATAACAGTTTTCTGTTTATTTACGGCTGTGAATTGCATTATGGGATGTTGCTCTCTGCTCTGTCGACTTTTGATGTTGAAACTTCAACTCTACAGTTAAGTTTTTTTTACATTTTAGTAGTTTGAAATAATATAGATATAAAGTATATATTTAACAAGTCTGTAAAGTAAGAGAAAATGTCCTGCCAGTTTATAACAAGGTTTTTGTAGTGTAATATACAACACCAACAGACAATACATCACTTTAAACTATTCAAAATATTAATAAGTCACTTTTTTTTTACTTTTCAAGGTTAAAAGTTGTTGAAAGAAAGATCAAGGTCCCGTAATGCAATTCAAAAACATTAATAAACAGGGAAATTAAAAAAATAAAAACATGAAATCACAAAAATATGACATTTCTAACAGGTTCTTCAAGAAACCTAATATGACATTAAATTGCCTTAATTTTAAAGATTGTTACAGCAATCTTGTAATACAAATTACATGATAAAAAATTAAATACACAAATATTGCAACCTATATAATAGACGTTACGTTCCCTTACCCTGTATGGCATAAATGTTTGTTTTAGAAGGAAAAATATTTCACCGCAATTTTTAGGTGCTTAGGGGTCCCTTATAATAAAACAATCATAAAATTTACACCACCCCCCCACCACCAGATTTTGGCTTGTTGCCTCGGGGCAAACCAATATAATATGTTAATATATGTACATTCTTTGAAAAGACAAATTCTCGTCTTCTTATCTTATTTACAGGAGTGTGATGTATCCGTCAGTGATGAGCAATTTACTAGGCCGCTGTAATTCGCCCAGCAGCGCTCTCAGCAGGCAGGAGTTCCTGGAGAAGTTTACAACCTACGATGAGGGATTTGAGTACGGCTCACAACTCCCAGAGATGTTCCTCAAGTATGTGAGCAGTCCTGCCACAATATGAAGAAAAAAAGGCCAACAGTCAGTTGCTTACATCTATATAATGACGTCTATCTATCTACCTACCTACCTACCTACCTACCTACCTACCTACCATGCATCCATCCATCCATGCATCCATGCACCCATCTATCCATCCATCCATCCATCCATCCATCCATCCATCCATACTGTATATATATATATATATACATACATACATACATACGTACATACACACAGACACAGTTAAAGTCTGAATTATTAGCCCCCCTGAATTATTAGCTCCCCTGTTTATTTTTTCCCTAATTTCTGTTTAACATAAAAATTTTTTCCATAGATATTTACAGCACTTTAAGTTAAGCCATTTTAAGAAAAAAAAAAGTTTTTTTTTATAGATTTATCATAATGTGTGTGGTAGAGGGCTAATAACTGATTTATTTTATCTTTGTCAGTAAAAAATAAGACAGTAAATAATATTTGACCAGATATTTTTCAAGACACTTCTATACAGCTTAAAGTGACATTTAGAGGCTTAACTAGGTTAAGTAAGTTAAGTAGGAAGGCAAGTAATTGTATGACGATTGTTTGTTCTGTAAACTATCGAAAAAATATAGCTTAAAGGGGCTAATAATTTTGACCTTAAAATGGTTTTAAAAAAATTTAAACCTGCTTTAATTCTGGTCGAAATAAATATAAAAGGACTTTCTCCAGAAATAATACTATCACTAGTCATACTGTGAAAAATTCCTTACTCTGTTAAACTTCATTAAAAAATCAAATCAAAGGGGGGCTAATAATTTTGACTTCAACTGTAAATATATACAGTTATTTATGGATATTTACAGTAAATACATCACTTTTATAGCCAGTAATGGATGAATCTTTTTTTTCTTCTTCAGGGAATGGTCAAACTCAAAGCATTGGCTGCTTTCTCTGCTGAGAAAAATGGTTATCAAATCAGAGGAGACCCTCTATAGTGAGAGTGATAGAAAGGTAATGCACATTAATATAAAGCAATCCATATTTTCTTGATTAAAACACAGAGATGGCCTGTTAAAAAGAAACCTTGAAAAATATCTAAAAATAAAGGGCTTTAATCTGCTTTTTGGCAGTTTAATTCTACAAATAATGCTGCATTGTGTGGAAAAAAAACATTAGCATTTAATAATTTTTTTTTTACTTATGATCTTGAAAAATGTACAATAAGGAACATGTTGTCCCAACAAAGATTATAAAATAAAATATTATTGGTAAAATATAAAATGAAAATATTATCGAATAGGTATCTGTGTATCGACTAAAAATGTGCATTTTATTTCATAAACTAGAGATGATGTGTCTTTAGAATTTAATATAAGAATAATTTAGATTTACACTTCTCAGGACAATCACATAGTAGCTATGAATAAAATAATAATAATATTATTAATAAAAGTACTTTGGACAGCAAAGTGGCGCAGTGGGTTGCACATTCGTCTCACCGCAAGAAGGTCACTGGTTCGAAACCTGATTAGGTTAGTTGGCATTTCTATGTGGAGTTTGCATGTTCTCCCTGTGTTGGTGTGGGTTTCCTCCGAGTCCAAAGACATGCGGTACAGGTGAAGTGAATAAGCTAAATTGGCCGTTGTGTATGTGAGTGTTAGGGTGTTTCTCACTTTTTGGTTGCAGCTGGAAAAGCATCTGCTGCGGAAAACATGTGCTGGATAAGTTGGCGGTTCATTCCGCTGTGGTGACCCTAGATTAATAAAGGGACCAAGCCGAAAAGAAAATGAATGAAAGAATGAATGAATAAAAGTACTTTTTTTCCAGAGCTTAATTCATACATAATTACACATTTTTTAATCTTGTAAACTATAATTTTTGGAATCAGCAAAATATTATAATTCTCTCTGCAATGATTGGTCATTTTAACATGTACTTACCTTATTCTCCTTAGACTTTACTACAGCACCTGGCTGCTTCAATAAGTGAACAATATCTACCCAACTATGGTTTACTGTTGCTTTGGGCTTCCTTGGCAAATGCCATACCAGTAAGTAAGAGATTTATGTCAGTGTAATAACGTATTCTTCTCTGTGAAAACTCAGTTTGAATTGGAACAATTAAATTGTTTACAAACACTTAACGTAGAAAAAATAAAAGAGTAAATCCAAGGAATCATCTTTGAATAATTTTTTTCAGTGTTGGGCAGAATGTTGCTGAGACTGTTTACTATTTCTATAGGTAACATTTTGGGCAGTTGCTTTCATTTTGTCCAATCCCACAGCATATAAGATTGTAATGGATCAGATCAACTCTGTCCTTGGTCGCCAAGGTAAAAGCAATTCCTTTCTAATTGTTTTAAATTTACAGCCTCATCCAGACTCAGAGGCCAACCCATTTATCAACCCAATTTATCAAGAAGGTTGATAATATATAATTGCTTCCATTATAAAAATGAAACAAACAACTAAGTATACTTGCTTTTTTTCAAGGCTGCATTTATTTAACCAAGAAAATAGACTAATATACAGTATAAAGTCATTTTATTTTCATTTCAATTTAAAATGGACATATACAAAACCAACAAAACCAAAACCCTAAACTTACAATGTCACATGATCCTTTCTCAACCTGTTGCATTGTATTTTGTAAACTGTGTGATTAACTGAAAAACAGCTTTATTTGAAAAATATTTATTTGCAGGAATTAAATATATTTATTTACAAAATGCAATGCAATATAATATTTTACTTTTGGGGAATTTAATGCATCCTTGCATTTTGCATAAAAGTTAATTCTTTCAAAATAATAATAAAATAAAAGAATAATTAAAAGTAATAATACAAATAAAATAATAATAATTATATGTAAAGTTAAAATTATAACAAAACAGATTTAAAATAAAATATCATGATGATAAAATTGTATTTTGCACCCTCGCTTTCTTACCAGAACCATTTGCATTTCCTCCCAGATCCACAAGAGGGCAGCAAGCTCACATGCATTATTCATTACTATTGACAAGCTCTCAGCAATATAAACGACAAAAATATTCATGAGCTCTAACAATGTAGTATTATTATTATATTATTATTATTCTATAGAATTGGAAAACTATTGATTAAATATGCACAATACATCAAATAAATATGCATTTACAGTTGAAGTCAGAATAATTTGGCCTTCTTTGAAATTTATATTAATTTAATAAGAGAATTTCTGAAATGTTGCTTAAAGGAGAGAAGTTTTTTTTCCAATCTGTTTTTAAAACGTAAAAGTTAACTAATAACTAATTTATTTAGTCTTTGTCATGATGACAGTGTTTTTTGCAAGATAGTATTCAGCTTAAAGTGTAATTTAAAGACTTAGGGGAATTAGGTAATGCAAGTTAGAATAATTAGGCAAGTTATTGGATAACAGTAACAGTTGGTTCCCAAACTTCTCATGCTAGCGACTCGCGACCCCCACATTCCTCTGATGTATTAGAATTGTAAGTATAGAAATGTTGCACACACAACAATAGGCCTATTTAGACACAAGCATTTTGACAAAACAAAAAGTGCAACAGTCTAGCAGCTATAGGTTAGAACTGATATAATTTATTAATTTGTTTAATTTATTAATAACCTCACCTATAGAGACTGGTGGGCACAATGTTTTCAGCAAAATCAATCTGCTGCAGCTAACACTACTGCTGTGTTGTAAATCTAGCATAAGCACACCAATCCTGTGAAAAAAAATTAAAAGGCTGATGGCTTCTTATTTGCATGTTGTTGCTTTATGTGACTATTACCTAATATTTTATGTTATGTGGTTAATGGTTAAAATATGATAATTCTAATAGTTTAATAAAATGTATTTGACTTTTGGAAATCACTGCTGTAGACAATTGAAATCAATAATTTCTTAAAGGGGCTAATAATATTATTGAGCTTAAAATTTGTTTTAAAAAGTGATTCAATCTCCTTGCTGTTTAACATCACTTTGAAAAATAATGCAAATTTTAAGGGAGAGATAATAATTTTGACTTCAACTGCATTTTTAAGCATAGTACAAGAGCACAAAAGGTAAATAAAGGAACAAAGATAAATGTTGTAACAATGTCTTTGGTTAGACAGATCCAGATTCTAACTTTTATGGAGCTTAAAATATGACAAAACAATCTGAATTTGAATTGTGCTCAGTTTAATTATTGACAAATGTATTTAATAAAACAAATCAGGTGTCTCAAATTTCAGATGTTCAATATTCAAGTTAAGAATGGCATATAATAGTCAGTTTCATTAAATTACAATTGTCAGTAATTCAAATGAACGGGCGGTACGGTGGCTCAGTGGATAGCACTGTTGCCTCACAGCAAGAAGATCGCAGCTTCAAGTCTCGGCTGGGTCTGGGGGCATTTCTGTGTGAAGTTTGCATGCTTTCCCCTTGTTTGTGTGGTTTGCCTCCGAGTGCTCCGGTTTCCCCAACATTACAAACACATACGCTATAGGTGAATTGGGTAAGCTACATTGGCCGTAGTGTATGACTGTGTGTGTGTGAATGTGAGAGTGTATGGGTGTTGCCCATACAACTGGAAGGGCATCCACTGTGTAAAACATATGCCAAAATTGTTGGTGGTTCATTTCGCTGTGGAGACACCTGATCAATAATTAAAGGGAAATAAATAAATGAATTATTCAAATGAACACAATTCAAATTCAGTTTGTTTTTAAACTCCAAACACTCGTTGTGTGTTTGCTTTGCATTTAAGACAAGCAGAAGACAAAGGTGACCCTAGATGACTTGCAGCAGATGCCGTATGTGAAGTGGTGTATCATGGAAGCCATTCGGCTGAGGGCCCCCGGAGCCATCACTCGCAAAGTAGTGCGACCTCTCAAATTACAGGTCAGCTGTGATATTCAGAGTATTCTGTGGACATTGACAATCTCTGTTCTGTCTGCCTTTCTTTTAGATCTAAGCAGAGCAAATACATTATAATGAGCATATTCACTGTATTTGAATATTAACATTGTGATGCTAAGATTTCATCTTGAAAAGCTCAATCGTGTTGAGAAAGTTACATTGGAAATAAAACAGGTTACAGACTAAAAGTTACCCTATTTAAAACAAAAAACACGGCAAAAAGGATTCTTACTTAAGTTTTTGTTTTTAGTTTCTAGTCCAAATATCTACCAAATCTTAAATCAAGAAGTATTTCAAGCAATAAGCTAGTCTTGTTTTCAGAAATGATATGCCAAAATGTATTGAGTGTTTCCTTAAAACAAGCTAAATAATCTGACAATAACTGAAGTAAAATAATATTATTCCAAAGTGAATAGAAGTTTATTTTTCTTACCCCATTGGCAGATTATTTTGCTTACTTTAAGGAAAAAAACTCTTAACTTTGACAAAATGTTTCTAAAAAGAAGACATTAGTTTTTTGCTTGCGTGGAAAATGCTTCTTAATTCAAGACTGTTTAGATATTTGGACTAGAAACAAGAAAATTAAGAAATGCATGTTTTACAGTGGTATAACGAAGACAAAACTTTTTATAGTGCTAGATTTAGCTGCAACTTAACTGTTCTTGGGTGGCTAGCTGATATATTAGATTAATCTAATACATAAAATAAGCAGGCTGATCAAAGTTATTGCGGGGAGAAGACTTTTTAAGAAACAGTTCCTCAGCAGTGAATTCTAATAGTTTAATCAAATGTATTTCACTTTTGGAAATCACCAAGCGACCCCCACTTTGGGAATCACTGCTGTAGACAACTGAAAACAATCATTTCTTAAGGGGGCTAATAATATTATTGAGCTAAATTTGTTTTAAAAACTGATTTTATTCCAGCCAAACTAAAAGAAATAAGATTTTCTCTTGAAAAAAAAATCTCCTTGCTTTGTTTATCATCACTTTGAAAAATAATGCAAATTTCAAGGAAGAGATAATAATTTTGAATTCAACTGCATCTTTAAACATAGTACAGGAGCACATAAGGTAAATAAAGGTACAAAAATGTTGTAGTAATAATGTCTTTGGTTAGATAAATCCATCCAGGCTCTTGTTCATTGTCTGACCTCCTGATTCTAACTATTATGGAGCTTATTATATGACAAAACAATCTGAATTTGAACTGTGCTCAGTGTAATCATTGACAATTGTATTTAAAATATTTTTTTTAAATCAGGTGTTAAATCAGTGATGTTAAATCACTGGTTCTCTGCCATCTTAAACCAAAAGTACTGAGATTTTACTTTAAACTAGATACAGCAATGCATATGACCCCTCCCCCCTGGCAGATTCTTGTTCGCATATGGAAAAAAAAGCCACACAATCTATCAAAAGTAATGTAACTGATTACATCTGATTACCTTTTTATTACTATTCTACATTTCAACTGTTAATCATTTTCAAACACTTAAACCAGACCGGGATATCCTTCAGCGGTACTCAACACTGATTACTGTCAGATTTTTAAAATCCTTCATCACTTGAAGTAGGATTAAAATAATAATTTAATTTTGAAGCTCAGCCACCACAAAATCAGACTTTAGCACCTCTCTTTACTTTGAAGCCTTCCGAGGTTAAATGCAGATATAAAATCACAGCACTAAATAGCGGTTTAATAGTTTAGTACTGCTTTTTTATAAAAACAATAACATTTATCAATGTCCTGGGGAAAAAGAAATGAATCTTAAAAGATAAGGTATCAAATGCATACCAACTGCTACACACCACAGTTGAATGCAGTTGAAGTCAGAATTATTAGCCCCCCTTTGAATTAATTTCTTTTTAAAATATTTCCCAAATGATGTTTAACAGAGCAAGGACATTTTCACATCATGTCTGATATTTCTATTCTTCTAGAGAAAGTCCTATTTGTTTTATTTTGGCTGTTTTTAATAAAAAAAAAAAAAAACATATTAAGATCAAAAGTATTAGCCCCTTCACGTTGTGTTTTTTTCCGACTGTCTACAGAACAAACCGTTGTTACACAATAACTTGCCAAATTACCGTAACCTGCCTAGTTAACCTTATTAACCTAGTTAAACTTTTAAATGTCACTTTAAGCTGTATAGAAGTGTCTTGAAAATACCTAGTAAAATATTATGCACTGTCATCATGGCAAAGATAAGAAAAAATATGTTATTTAAATGAGTTTTTAAATCTATTTTGTTTAAAAATGTGTGGAAAAAATATCTTTTTTAAACAGAAATGGGGGGGGGGGGGTTGAATCAATAGGTGGGCTTGTAATTCAGGGGGACTAATAATTCTGACTTCAACTGTATATATCGAAAAACAAATTATCATGATAAAAGTATCTGGAGTATTTCTATTGCAGATAGATGTAATATTTTTTGTGCTAAGCATTTGTTTGTTCCATGTATTGATTGTTTATACAAATGTGACCAATCAGATGAGGTCTAACTATTTTTATTCCCGCCTCCCCATTTATGCTATTGGCTAGAGCAGCTTAAAAGTGAACCTACAGTAGATCTGTAAATAAATAAAAATATTGGTGTGTAGAGCTTAAAATATGACAAAGCAACCTGAATTTAATGGTGTTCATTTGAATTACTGACAATTGTAATTTAATAAACCTGAATATTATATGCCCTTGTGATGTGGATGGGACTCTGACAACAGAGGTGCAGATCTAAATGCATGTTTATTAACAAGAATGGTCAGGTTAACAACGGTCAACACAGGGGCAAACACGTACATGTAGAGAATACGGAGTCGTAGTCATATAACGGGCATGTGGTCATAAGGCAGGCAGCAGACAGGAATTAACACTAAAACAAAGCAAGGGTCTAACACGGCAAGGGAAAGAAAACGCATCGTAATGTTCACAATGCAGCTAAACAAGACTCAGCACTGATGTGTGCGTGTGTCTGTGCTTATTTTAAAGTCCATGTAATCAGTCTTTGAGAATCCTCTGGCTGTGTGTGCACAATCCGGCACAGGTGTGTGTGAGCGATGCATGAGTGGATCTGTAGTCAAATATTATGGTGGATTTGTAGTTCTATGTCGAGCTGCATGTCCACAAGGATTAGATGATGACGACTAATGATTGTGACACCCCTTAAAATAGTTTTGAATTTCTTAACTTGAATATTGAACATCTAAAAATAGTTTAAGATTTTCAAGATTCAATTCAAAATTCTAAAATTCAACAACAGAAATTCAGATTCTAAAATTCAGATAGCGCAGCAATTAGGTCAGGGGTCATCAGTTTTAATAAATGACAATTGTCAGTAATAATTCAAATGAACTCAATTCAGATAGTTTTTTCATATTTTAAGCTATCATCTCATTTAAGTTGTTTCCCATATTTCTTCCTTACTTTTTATATGAAAAGTGAAAGTTGCATCAAAGAGTCGATCTGTTTAAGAGAATTATGGTTTCACTTTGGCTTGAAAACATGTTGAAATTATTATTAAAATGGCCGCAATCATTTATATTAAAGCTTTGACCGCTGCCCTTCCTATGCAACCTCTGAATCAGTCAATTCATGTAATGGTGCGCTCATATAAAGGCTATGTAAACCTGTCTGTCCTGGCGTGTTTTATTTTTAACACAAATAATTTTGTCTTAAATGAGCTAAATTAACAGTTATGAAAGTAATCAAATGCTTTTATTACACATCTGTGGATTGGACCTCTGTTTTCAAACAAAACAGTGTATCAAAATGAGAGATTTGCTGCTCTTCACTAAATAACTATAGTTACTTTAATCAATATTTAAATACAGTGAAAGAAATCTTTAATTTCTTGCATTATTAATTAATTTCTGTATAGGCCATATAGACTAATTTCTATATTATTTGACCGCTTATTGCATTTTCAATTAAAGCGTATGCCATATTTTTACTTCCATATGTTGACAGGTATGCCTAAAATAAAGTGTTACCAAAAATTGCATGTTTTCTGCTTCTCAGAATTACGTTATCCCACCTGGAGACATGCTGATGTTGTCTCCTTACTGGGCTCACCGAAACCCCAAGTATTTCCCAGACCCGGAAGATTTCAAACCTGTGAGTAACTTGATCCGTCTGAATGACCTCAGCCACAGGATGAGGTTAACACAAATTCCACTATAAACCTGAATAAAACAGACATGAGACATATGCTCATAAAATGGCAGCAAGTAAAGTGCTTCACTATTAAAAGTGCCTGTACTTGTTCGAGGGGTCTTTTTACATAGTTTGTTTTGCTCTATGATGGAACCGGCATCCCTTTTATTGGCATTTTCTTTCAATAAAACTTCCTCCTTCCATTTTGTCTGGCAAAGCAGTAGAGAGCTGGTCACAATGTGCTCGAAAAGCCCAGCTGTGCTCCATTAAAACAGGAATAATAGGTCTGTATGTGTTCAAGCGAAGGCCTGACAGTTATCATCACAATTAACCTTCCGGCAAACGCCTATAGAGATTCCATTACACTTGTGTCTACTAATGTTTTAAAGGAAATGAGAGAACTATAAGATATGCTTACTTTCAAATTGCCAAACCCCTCTCACTTACAGTGTGGACATGCTCTTAAAAGGATAGTTCAGTCGAAATTGAAAAAATCTGTCGTCATTTACTCACCCATACTTGTTCCAAACCAGTTTGAGGGTTTTTGTTCTATTAAAAACAAAAGAAAATGTATGTAAAAATGACAACAATTTGACATCTACCATTTGCGAAACTCAAATTAGGACAGCACAGTCCTGTGATTGAGTATTGGCGTGTTTTTTGACAGCAATGTCAGATGTTAATTCAAGTTTATTTTGAAATGTTTTGCCCCCCCAATACACCCCCCACTCTCCTCTAACTTAAACTCCTCGCAATAACTGCACTGTTTAACATTTGCACGTTTAAAATTTGCACATTCACTGCACCACATTGAACTGTTTACTTATTGAACTGTACATACCCACTGCATATGGGCATTTGTAATTATGTACACACCCACTATACATATACACTTGTAATCATGCTTATTTATCTGCACACTACTGATTATTAATAGCAACCTGTACATATATTCATATATTGTAACATATACACTTGTAATCATGTTTATCTATCTGCACACTACTGATTATTAATAGCAACCTGCACATATATTCATATATTGTAAACCTGTATATAATGTTCATAGTACATCCATCTGTAAATATCACCATAGTTTTTCTATAACTGCACTTTATAACTTATTCCTGTATCCTGCACTTGCTGCTATTGCACTGCTGGTTAGACCTAAACTGCATTTCGTTGCATTGTACTTGTACATGTGTAATGACAATAAAGTTGAATCTAATCTAATCTAATCTAAAAATCAAGGTAGTTTACACGCATTGAATGTCAAAATGTTTATGCAAAATTTGTAATTGAAGCTTTTAGATCAATAAAACTTTCTTATATTTAAAATAAGAATTATATATTACTGTATAATATAATTTATTTTGGCGAGGCAGTGGCGCAGTAGGTAGTGCTGTCGTCTCACAGCAAGAAGGTCGCTGGGTCGAACCTCGGCTCAGTTGGCGTTTCTGTGTGTAGTTTGCATGTTCTCCCTGCCTTCGCGTGGGTTTCCTCCGGGTGCTCCGGTTTCCCCCACAGTCCAAAGACATGCGGTACAGGTGAATTGGGTAGCCTAAATTGTCCATAGTTTATGAGTGTGTGTGTGAATGTGTGTGTGGATGTTTCCCAGAGATGGGTTGCGGCTGGAAGGGCATCCGCTGCGTAAAAACTTGCTGGATAAGTTGGCGGTTCATTCCGCTGTGGCGACCCCGGATTAATAAAGGGACTAAGCCGACAAGTAAATGAATGAATGATAATTTATTTTGCCAGGATAGTCTCACTGAGATTCAGGATGTCTTCTTCCAGAGAGTCCTTGCCAAAATGGCAGGACAAAAAGCTACATATTAAGGGCAAGTCTATTTATATAGCACATTTGATACATTATGGTAATTAAAAATGCTTGAATAATGAAAGACGTAAAAAAAATATATTAAATGTGAAGAAAAAAACAGGTTTTAAAGGAATAAAAAAGAAAACAAAGACACAATAGTGTGATCCTTGGGATGTAGCACAGTGCTAATTCAGTATAGGCACAGCTAAACAAATGGTGTTTTAATCTTGATTTGATTGTACCTAATGTAGGAGCACATCTGATCATGTCTGGAAGCTGATTTCAGCAGCAGGGGGCGTAGTAGCTGAAGGCGGATTCACCCTGCTTTGACTGAACTCTTGGAATTTCTGATTTACTTGATCTTAAAGATCTGAATGATCTGATAGGTTTGTATTCAGTGAGCATATCTGTAATGTATTGAGGTCCTAGGCCATTTAGTGATTTATAGACAAGTAATAGTTTGTTAAAATCTATTCTGAATGTAACTGGGAGCCAGTGTAAAGACCTGAAGAATCTAAAGAATCCTGGCAGCAGTGTTCTGGATGAGGTGGAACTGTCTGACTGTCTTTAGTAGATGAGGTGGGGGGTGGAAAGATGAGTTTCGGTTTTATTAATCAGAGTTCAGGTGCGTTCAGAAAAGATGACTGTCTTTTTGCGAAGGCCAATGAGGAGTCCATTACAGTAATCTACCCGAGAGGGGTCTGGATGCAGACGTGGTGCAGTGAAATCTGAGCTGCATCCAATGCTTTTTAATGGGCTCACCTAACTCCACCCCTAACCCCTCATGGTGACGTTAATCGCTCCATTTGAGTGCATTGTGTCTGACATTGCATCGCTGAGTGATGCAATCTCAGCTTGCATCATAAAGGCTGCATCCAGATACTATTGATCCACGCTGCAGCTGATAAAAGCACAAACATGTTTTTTTTCTCAGTGCTCACTGGAAACTAAGCAACAAATTCTTGCAATGTTTTAGAGATGACAGTATGCCGATTTAATTTCTGCTTTGACATGGCTATTGAAACTCTGATAGTATTTTGAGTTGGTGTGTGATGAGGTGGGGGGTGGGGGTATGGGGAATAGGGTTTCGGTTTTATTCATGAGAGTTCAGGTGCTGTCAGAAAAGATGAGTTTTTAGTTGTTGTTTAGTTGTCATCACAATACTCTGCCACTTGTTCCATAATGAGCGAGCAAAAAGAGAGACTCTGAATGAATAAGTGGAACATTTAAAAAGAATTTGGCAGAAGATCTAGAACTATAGTTGTCTAGCGGCTTTCCAATTGCCGCTATTGTTGGTAGAGTGAGCAAATTTTATACGCGTATAAGTAGGCTAACATAGATGCAGATTGTTTTCTAATACAGCTTTTCTTTAGCATACTTGCTTTAAAACATGATGTTTAAATACTTTATGAAGTTCATACTAAAACAACCGGATTCTATCATTTATACTGCACACTACTCTGTAGTATGGTCAAAAACTGTGCAACCTACTAACCGCACTTCCTTTCACAATGCAGTGATGCCACAGTTATATAGTATCGTACTGCCATCTAGTGGCCAAACGCCATTTTACAATGAATGGCTCCAACAAGCTGCAAGTGTAAAAAAGACTATTGGTTATTTATCAAGCAATACCTTGCAGATAAACAGCAGCATATGCAGAAGAGGCATAAGGCAACATGATATACATAACCCAACTTTTTCAATGAAGATAAACTTGAATGAATAATAATATCACCATAATCTAACGCTAAAAGGAAACAACTTTATTTGATTCTCTTTTTTTCTAATTTAAGTAAAAAGAAACCCCACTTTTAATCTTATTTATTTATTTTTAAAGTTTTTCAGTAATAATAATAATATTAATAAAATAATACTTTTTGTGTCATTTTGGTGGTCAAAAGGGCATCAATGTGTGGATGTCAAATGGACGTCAAGGTCATGAACTCAAATCGATTCGCATATTTGTTTATGTCTATGTCAATTTGACATCATTTTGACATCAAGATATCTGCTGGAATAGTTGAAAAAACTAATATGAAAGTCAATAGTTGCAGCTTTCTAACATTCTTCAAAGCATCTTTTTTTTGTGCTCAAAAGAACAAAAAAATAACTAGTCAATGTGTTAGAATATAACTTTTTTAGTGAACTATCCTTTAAAACAATGTGTTCATATGAGTGTGTGTCTTCCTCCCCCCAATCCTTAAATGGAATCAAACTATTTTGCACAATGGACGTCCAGCTATTTTTTGCACTGGAAAACTACACAAATTGTTTTGGGTCTATAAAAACCTCAGAGGGTTAGACTTTTTGACCCG